AGCGCCTGGTGGCCGGGCCTTAGCCCACGGGGCCCGGCCGGGCTCAGCCCAAATGGACGACGTGGGCAGTCCCTCCTGTGGGCCCACCACCCGCAGAGGGGTTCGTGGTGGCGAAGCGGTGCAGAGAGGACTGGGCAGCGGTCGAAGGCGGAGACCTCGGCGACCCAGTCTGCACACACAACAGCTGGCTCTTGGGACGTGGAACGTCACCTCACTGGGGGGGAAGGAGCCCGAGCTTGTGGGGGAGGTTGAGCGATACCGACTAGAGATAGTCGGCCTCACCTCCACACACAGCTTGGGCTCTGGAACCCAACTCCTTGAGAGTTGGGTTCCACTTTTCTGGAGTTTCCCGCGGGGAGAGGCGGCGAGCTGGGGTGGCCATTCTCATTGCCCCCCATCTCAGCCGCCATGTGTTGGAGTTCTCCCCGGTGAATGAGAGGGTCGCGTCCCTCCGCCTCCGGGTGGGGACAAGTCTCTCATTGTTGTGACGGCCTACGGGCCTAACGGCAGTGCAGAGTACCCGGCCTTCTTGGAGTCCTTGGGAGGGGTACTGGACGGTGCACCGCCCGGGGACTCCGTTATTCTCCTGGGGGACTTCAACGCCCATGTGGGAAACGCCAGTGACACTTGGAGAGGGGTGATCGGGAAGAGCGGCCCCCCTGATCTGAACCCGAGCGGTGTTCAGTTGTTGGACTTCTGTGCTAGTCACAGTTTGTCCATCACGAAAACCATGTTCGAGCACAAGGGTGTCCACCAGTGCACGTGGCACCAGGACACCCTAGGCCGGAGGTCGATGATCGACTTTGTTGTCGTATCATCTGACCTTCGACCGCGTGTCTCGGACACTCGGGTAAAGAGAGGGGCGGAGCTGTCAACCGATCATCACCTGGTCGTGAGTTGGATCCGCTGGCAGGGGAAGAAGCCGGTCAGACCTGGCAGACCCAAGCGTATAGTGAGGGTCTGCTGGGAACGTCTCGCTGAGCCCCCTGTCAGACGGACTTTCAACTCACACCTCCGGGAGAGTTTCTCCCAGGTCCCGGCGGAGGAGGGGGACGTGGAGTCCGAGTGGACCATGTTCTCTGCCTCAATCGCCGATGCGGCGGCTCGTAGCTGTGGTCGCAAGGTCTCTGGTGCTGGTCCCGGCGGCAATCCCCGAACCCGGTGGTGGACACCGGCAGTAAGGGATGCTGTCAGGCTGAAGAAGGAGTCCTATCGAGCCATGATGGTTCGGGGGACTCCTGAGGCAGCTGTCCAGTACCGGCAGACCAAGCGTGCCGTGGCCCGGGCTGTTGCAGAGGCAAAAACCCGGGACTGGGAGGAGTTCGGAGAGTCCATGGAGCATGACTATCGGTCGGCCTCGAAGAGATTCTGGCAAACCATCCGGCGCCTCAAGAGGGGGAAGCAGTTCTTTGCCAGCACCATGTACGGTGCGGGTGGAGAGCTGCTGACCTCGACTGGAGATATTGTCGGGCGGTGGAAGGAATACTTTGAGGTTCTCGTCAATCCCCCCGTCACGTCCTCTGTTACAGAGGCAGAGGCTGAGGATGTTGGGGCGGATACATCCATCTCCCTGGCTGAGGTCACCAAGGTGGTTGGTAGCCTCCATGGTGGCAAGGCTCCGGGTGTGGATGAGATCCGCCCTGATTATCTAAAGTCTCTGGATGTTGTAGGACTGTCTTGGCTGACACGTCTCTGCAACATCGCGTGGCGATCGGGGGCAGTGCCAAGGGAGTGGCAGACCGGGGTGGTGGTCCCTCTCTACAAGAAGGGGGACCGGAGGGTGTGTTCCAATTATCGTGGGATCACACTCCTCAGCCTCCCCGGTAAGGTCTACTCCAAGGTACTGGAGAGGAGGCTACGGCCGATGGTCGAATCTCGGATCCAGGAGGGGCAGTGTGGTTTTCGTCCCGGTCGCGGAACACTGGACCAGCTCTATACTCTCCATCGGATACTCGAGGGTTCATGGGAGTTCGCCCAACCTGTCCACATGTGCTTTGTGGATTTGGAGAAGGCGTTCAACTGTGTTGCCCGGGGTGTCCTTTGGGGGGTTCTCCGGGAGTACGGGGTCGGGGGTCCTCTGTTGAGGGCCATCCGATCCCTGTATGACCGGAGCCAAAGCTGTGTTCGCATTGCCGGCATAAGTCAGACCTGTTCCCGGTGAATGTTGGCCTCCGACAGGGCTGCCCTTTGTCACCGGTTCTGTTCACTGTATTTATGGACAGAATATCTAGGCGCAGCCAGGGGTTGGAGGGGGTCCGGTTGGGAGACCACAGGATTTCATCTCTGCTGTTTGCGGACGATGTTGTCCTGTTGGCTCCAACGAACCAGGACCTGCAGCATGCACTGGGGCGGTTTGCAGCCGAGTGTGAAGCCGCTGGGATGAGAATCAGCACCTCCAAATCCGAGGCCATGGTGCTCGACCGGAAAAAGGTGCCTTGCCCTCTGCAGGTGGGTGGAGAGGTCCTTCCTGAGTTCAAGTATCTCGGGGTCTTGTTCACGAGTGAGGGAAGGATGGAGCGTGAGATTGACAGGCGGATCGGTGCAGCGTGCGCAGTGATGCGGTCGCTGTATCGGACCGTTGTGGTAAAGAGGGAGCTGAGCTGAAAGGCAAAGCTCTCGATTTACCGGTCAATCTTCGTTCCCTCCCTCACCTATGGTCATAAGCTTTGGGTAATGACCGAAAGAACGAGATCGCGGATACAAGCGGTCGAAATGAGCTTCCTCCGCAGAGTGGCTGGGCGCTCCCTTAGAGATAGGGTGAGGAGCTCGGCCACACGGGAGGAGCTCGGAGTAGAGCCGCTGCTTCTCCACGTCGAGAGGAACCAGTTGAGGTGGCTCGGGCATCTGTTCCGGATGCCTCCTGGACGCCTCCCTGGGGAGGTGTTCCGGGCACGTCCCATCGGGAGGAGGCCCCGCGGAAGACCTAGGACACGCTGGAGGGACTATGTCTCTCAGCTGGCCTGGGAACGCCTTGGGGTCCCCCCGGACGAGCTGGAGGAAGGGTGTGTGGATAGGGAAGTCTGGGCGTCTCTGCTTAGACTGCTGCCCCCGCGACCCGGCAACGAATAAAGCAGAAGAAAATGGATGGATGGATGGGTTAACTTTGAAGGCATTTCTTTTAGCTGCTACACCTCAGTGAGTAAGCATGAATTGTTGATGTGCTTTTCCTCTTAGAAGAAACAGACATAGTTCACTTTAATCATGGTATACTGCCAGAGTGAAAGCATCTCTATGAACAGAAGAACAAGAAAGACACAAAGCACCTTTAGTAATATGAGCTCGAGTATGAAAAGGTTATGAGTCTCTAATGAGATTCCAATCTGACAGCAGACAAATTAGTTTTCTATTTACCGCCACAATTGTCCCTTTAACATTGGAGAAATGTGACGTCCAAGACCACCTGTTGCCCAGAACCGTACCTAAGAATTAAAGGCAATCTGCTATTTTACCATATTAAATATGAAGCGTGTGACTTTAATGGACAATTAAAGATTATTAAATGAGTAAATCTGGGAGCTGGATCATAGGGCAGTTTCTTCATAACCAGAAATAATCTGAATTGTGCTACATACATTTTCTAATCTCTCATTATTACATTTCCTCTCACTAAAATTCAATACTGTCTGTTAATCTGTTTATTCCTAATCTCCTATATTTCCAGTGGCATTACATGATCAGTTGTTCTTGCAAAGATATATTTGATGTACTGTATGTCATAAACTATTACACTATTACTATTACAATAGGACAGACCCACTCTAAAATCATGTTAAATACCCGCTCACAACATATTTGAGTTATTTATATTTGACTCTGATCACCTCGTTTGGAAACAACACAATCAAACTGGAATACACACTGTAATTTAGCATAATAATTCACTTTCTCATTCATGTCAATCATTAGTAAAATAATTTCCACATAAACGTATATAATGAATAGCTCAACTAAACTACAAATTTGTTTTAAATGATGAAGAGTATTTAAATGTGAAAAGCCTCCCCATGGTTCTTGTTGCATCACAAAGTTTCCAACTGTTTCACTTTCTGCTTAAATTAATAGTTCTCTCAACTTGAAGGTGGAAACTTGTTTTGTTGTGTGATAGTATTTCCATTTTCATTATATGACTAGGATGCTCTTTGTGCAATAAAATACTGAAGGATCCCAAAGAAGGTCTCCAAAGTAAACATGCAATAAATGCCACATAATTTTGAAATGTATTCTTTAATTTAAAAGAACAAACTTTTTGGTATGAACATGTACACACAACAAGAGTGGATGCTTTTTGTTTGCAGTAAAGGATGAATTCATTTTCCATTTTAAAAAAAAAAACAAAGAAAGAAAATACAAAACCAGACAAAACTAACTTCCTTTCGTCAGTACAGCGTGACATTGGAAAATCTATTTCAGTACAAAAACTATGAAGTTATTTGTTCTTGATAAGAATCACTCATGTTACTTTTTGAATTCACCAATTTGTTAACAGGTGCAAATGTCAGGATATGCCAATTGATTCATGTAATGTGACAGTTTACAGTGTGTTGTATCTATTCTAGTCATTGATGGATAAATAGCATAATCTCTTGATTCATTTAGTGAAGTTCCAAGTCTCTGGAACGTAAAATCAAAAGTGTCGCAACTTGTCATGATGAATATTGTTCCCTCATAAACAGCCTTTTTCAGGGTTAGTTTAAGGCTCTCCTAGGGGATCTCTCTTTGGGCACTAACCACAGACCGTCTATAGATACTAACTCGCTTAGACACTCAAATCACTCATTTACACTTTCTTGACATTTCCACATATCAGAGAAAAAAAAAAAAAAAAAAATCAAGCTATGTTTTGCTGCTACACGCTTGTCTTGCCACCACTTTTTTATGGATTCAGCCTGACAGGTCCAGATGTTATCAGAAACTAAAATCTAACCGTTTATAATGTAGGTCAGGATATATAATATATATTTGCGTATACGGCTGTGGCCCGGTGCATCAAGTTCAAATTTTTACTGAGCAGCAGCGGCGGCAGCTAAGCGCTCTCGTTTCTCCTGCTCAGCCTTCTCTCTCGTCTCCTTCTCCCTCTGGATGAGCTGCACCCTCTCGGCCTCCCAGCCCTGGAGCTGCTGCTGGTACTGCCCCAGGTCCTGAACCTCTGCGGCAGACAGCTCCTTCTGGGCCAGAGCGCTCACTAAAGACTGAAATGAAGCGGCCTCAACTTTATTCATGGACTCCAACTGGCTTCTTAACTCCTGTAGACAGAAGGAAAAACAGTTATTCTTTGGTTGTGTATAATCACATCAATACACTAACAACAGCACAAGATAATTAACTGAAAATGACAATGATGATGAACCTACAGTACATAGAATACACAAATATAATAGGTCATGAGGGTATGGACACTTATTGCATTCACTTGAATAAAATAGGGTTTTTTCTGAATAGATTATCTTATTTTAAGCGGTACTTGCTTCTATGCACATTTGTATTAGATAAAATGTTTAATACCAGGTAGAAAGAGACAAGTCTTCGGTTTTTATGTGTAGTGGCCAACCTGTACCTTTGTTTTATTTATTTATTTATTTGAATGGGACAGTGCATGTCAATGAACAGACATTAAAAACATGAATGTAAACATGCCAGATTATAGCCAAAGGCTAATTTCCATCTGTAGTCCCATAGGGTCAGGGTCACACGGGTCAAATGCAGCAACATTAACAGAAACAAGAGGAAAATGTCAAACAAACAAACAGAAAAAAATAAAAAAATAAAAAATAAACACCTTGCATTCTGCTTCAGACCACACTTAAGTAATCCACCAAAGTTAGAGTCCACATCTTTGCACACACACAACAATTGCACGCATCAGATTATTACACACATATCGTTATTACACACATCTCATTATTGCACATATTCCGTTGTTACACACATCTAATACACACATCAGATTATTACACACATCTCAGTATTGCACACATCTCAGTATTGCACACATCTCAGTATTGCACACATCTCATTATTGCACACATCCCGTTACACACATCTCATTATTGCACACATCCCGTTATTTTACACACCCCATTACTGCATAACATCCTTGCATTACAGTCAACCAAAACTACACATGTCCTATTTGCAAACAAACCCTATCGCATGTTCCCCAACATTATTAATGGTTGCATGTTTGAGACGACCTAAACCACTCCTTTAGGAGACTTTTAAACTTTTGCCACTGAGATGTGCCCAAACACCGGTCGCTATGGCTGACGCGCTTCAGATGGCCATTGTGTCAGCTTTAACCATTGAATGCATAAGTCCACAGATGTTCATTGTATAATAAAAATCAATGTTTATTTATGCATATTGCAAGATAACAAAACCAAAAACCATTAGCCCCTACTGGGTTGCACACCTGCATGGCTCATTAAAGAGCCTATTTATGCTAGACCTGCTCCCCCACAGACATAACACACAGGCGCCCCCACAGGCCAATCATTGCACATGTTTGGCTCTTACATCATGTGTATATATATTTCTGTATGTGTTTTTGAGCTGTTTTTTACTGTCTCTATAGCACTTTAGTAAGCCATGGCTGTTTTAAATGTGCTCTACAAATAAAGATTTGATTGACTGATTGAATGTAGAGAAGATATTTAGATTATTGGAAGAACCACTCATCAATGGTTGATCTATACATGCATTATAATAAGTACAATCCTAAAAGCAAATACTTTTTTAAAATTTTCCTATAGAGTTGATGTTCACTTATCTTTTACTGTGTGCTCCTCATTCCTACAGTTCTGTAACTGGTGATGCAACACTGAAATTTCCCCGAATAGAGGATCTCTATCTTAATCAAACTTATTACATACAAGTGAGTGCAATATGCTTCTGTAAAAATCAGAATATTTCAAAGCATCTCTTCAATGTCCATTATTAGAACCATAGTTTCCATAGTTTGACACTGACCTTGAATCTGGCGACATACTCTGGTAACTTTGCACGTTCTGCTTCATCATCTTCATCCACCGTCTCACCCTTCTTCTCCTCTTCCACCTCAGAGTCTTCCCCAGAGGACTCCGACTCGGCAGACAGGTCATCCAGCACAGCACTCATGAGGTCCAACTAGAGACAAGAAGAATGAATTAGAATATAATATTGATACATGTATTAAATTATTTATATGTCATTATTTGCTACGAGGAGAATGGTAAACAGTCTCATACATCATCTGTTTATGATCCAGAACATGCTATCTATACAGAAAGGTAAACACTTTGATTTGACTACTGAACTTTTAAATTTGTATGTATATTTATTTTATTAGCGAGAATATCTCAATTAAATAATTATTAGCCAAAACAATTATCAAACTGGAAAAAAAAAAGTATATATTTATTTCCCCGTTTGACCTTTGCCACAAACCAGATGACTCAAGGATCGGCTGTGTAGACAACAAAATGCCCAAAACATAATTAACTATAAGAATTCAAAGTCAAATTAAATGTTATTTTGCCTGGTTTCCAATCTCCAAACACATTTTTCTCGTGTTGCATGAAGTGAATCTGCTGCATTCCTTATAATCTGGGATCTAGACAGCAACCCAGATTAACTCCATCCATACATTTTCTTCCCTTTTGGCCATGTCTGGGTTGGGGGCAATCAGCTGCAACTCAATTCACAGAGCACCAGCCCCTCACTGATGCCCCTGCAGGTGGTGAGTCCACAGGAGGATGGCTTCACTGTCGGTGAGAGCAAAGCCTTGATCTTTCAGGCAAAGTTCCCAAGGACACAATAACAGCAGACATAAGTGGGAGTCAGTGGCGAAGGTCTCGTTGAGGAATCGAACCCACAACCTTCAGGCTCAAAGGCCAATGCTCTCCCATCTGAGCCACTGTGGCCCCCAACTCCATATGCCCATCTATAATCTAAATGTGTTCCTTATCCCATTCACAAGATTTACTGAAAATGTCGCAAGAATCCGGTCATAACTTTTTCAGTTGTCGTTGACCAAGAAACTAACAAACTCGTATGAAAACAAAGCCCCTGGCGGATCTGGCATGTGCCCAATGACAAAAGAGTCTGAAGATGTGAAGTGACAGGTCGTCTGTTTTCCACACAGGTCAGATTACCGCTGACTGCAGGCTACGGACTGCGCCTCTATCTCAGATGTAATATTTCCTGCCGCCGCACACTATTTGCTTCATTGCGGTTATTGCGGCGGCCTCATCTGACAAAGCCACTTTTGCCCCTGTTCCTTTGATTCTTCCAGGCGTCTCTCATGTTATAGGCTCTTTAAAATCTCATTACAGGTGGACAAAGCTCAATTACGGAACAGGACAAAACACAATTCATATAATCATACCCCTGGGTGTCCATACATGTAAAAATACCACTAATATGACAACAAGCACACGCTATTTAAGAAGACAGAACAATTATGTGATGCCAATGACGCAAATGCCCAGTTCAATATGTCCTCTTATGTTGATGCCAGGACAGGTTACAGAGGCGAAGGGCAAAATGCAGCAGGTGAAGTTTCAGTATCTTAAACTAAAGCGTAATTCCCTAAATGTTCAATAATCCTAAAATTTACATAAAGATTTGTTATTGTTTTTATTGTCCCGACCCTGCATTTTTACTATAAGAAAGATAACCCCTCCACAGGTCTGCCCTATAACTTGGTCTGATGGCATTACTTACTTGTCTCAATGAAGAAACTTATGAGGATTTTTTTAAATATTCTATTCAGGGGCAGACAACACGGATTGTAAAGCTGTTTGGACTGTTTTCAGGCGGTTCCGAGCTTTAAAATGAAGTACATGTCCCTATTTCTTCGGCGACAGTGGCTCAGTTGGTAGAGCATTGGCCTTTGAGCCCGAGGGTCGTGGGTTTGAGCCCACCACAAGACCTTCTCCACCGACTCCCTCTGCTGTCGTTGTGTCCTTGGGCAAGACATTTAACCCACTTTGCCTATAAGGAGCGTGGAAGTGATGTTCGCTGCTTACCTTGATGTGTATATGTATCAAACTGAAATTTCCCCATTGTGGGACGAAAATAAAGATTCTTCTTCTTCTTCTTCTATTGATTCATGTTTGAATGATAGTCACCTGAATGAACAGGCTTTGCACCGTGGCATGTTGCACTTTATTTCTTACCCTGGGTTTTTACTATGGAGTCCTGACTAAGCACTTTTTGACCACTTTTACCTTATTTTCTTTAGATAGCCGTTGTGTTTTTATTGTCATTTGAGTAAATGTGATTTTATGAACATTTTTTGTATAGTTGCTGTTATAGAAATCTTTTAGTTAAACAATGTGAATTAACACCAAATAGTTATAAGTGTAAGTTATTAACTAATAGTCAACTCTGGATTCAAATACAGGCCATAATGCTCTGTTGGCAGCAGGTCAGCTGATAGATGGAGACGTGCTGCATCATGTCTTTGACCTCATCTGGGTCATAGAACAATATGTTCAGGTCAAAAGCAGATTATTACATATATCAGAGTTGTATCAGCGTTAGGACGCGTAAAGAGAAGCCTTGAGCAACACGTATCAATGATGACTTATCTATGTAATATCTAGAGTAGATATGTGTTTGTTTACTCTGGTCTATTTAATGTCCAGTCATTTCCTCAATCGGGGCAGTTGGTTTCAGACGGCTGCCCGGTGGTATTGGTATAGGTTCTGTTATTCATTGTAATTGAGCACATTTACTAATGAATAAACTCACACTTTGATGGTTTTATAGCTCTGGGTTGTTTACATTATTTTACTCTCGGTATGTGCAAAATTTCCACAACATTGCCAAGTCTATCTCTTTTTAACTGCAAAAAGAATCTACCCACAGGTACAAATAAAGTCACCTTGAACCTTGATGTTTATTTTCACACCAGCTATATTTGCGTCATACAGAATTTTGTGACACAATCACAAAGAAGTAACATGTTGAAGTTAAAACAGGATGCACTGTGAACTTGTGTTTATGTGTCATAAAATGGCAAAGAGGGGCACACTTTGGACATGCCTGTTCTAGACAAACCAATAACATACTTCTGACTGGTTTTTATCACTGCTTTATCTACATTTGTGGCACCACTGACAATACATCATGTGATATCAAGACACTACTGCCTTAAAGTGACCAAACTTGTGGTGAATGTCTTTAGAAGACATAAAACCACTTGTGTATTGAGTCAAAGCTTAGTTCTTACCGAGTCTTTAGTCAGTCTTGTGTCTCCAGTCCCAGCAGACACCTTCTCCATCACGTCCAGTGCTCTGTCCAAGTATCCGTGAGCCCAGTGCAGCGGCAAACCTTTAAACACTGCATGGATCCCCTCCTGCATCTCCACTTTTCCTGCACATAAAGAAACTATTTACTCTTGGCAGATTTGATCAGCATTCTCTTGGTTTTAGGGGTGCAAGAAATCTATGTATAATATCAATACAATGCATATCAGTTAATGTTTCAATGACGAAGAATAACAGACCACTAATCTTTACTGACTAATTCTTACGGTCAGAAAGAATTAGTCCTGATCGTAAGGACCCCCCACTCCCACTCCCTCTCCCTCTCCCTCTCCCTATCAGGGATTGGCACAGCAGTGCATAAAGTTAAATATTTGTGTAAAAACTCACCGAGGAGGACATTCCCCATGAACTGTGCACAGAGGCCACTGCTGCTGCTGCTGCTGCTGCTGCTGCTGCTGCTGCTGCTGAGGCCGCAGATGAGTAAAGATGCTCCCAGGGCTCGCTCTTCAGACACCTTAAACAACAGAGCTATGTTTAAGTCAAGTCAAGGCTGTATATAGATGCACAATGCTAACCCGCTAGCTCAATGAAGGCCAATGCGGAAGTGCTCATGGACCAAGTTTCGCTCCAACTGACTCTTGCTCCTATTGACTTACATTGAAAAGTCTTTTGAACTGTAACCAGCCACACCAGTTCTCACATGCTCTTAGAATAATCAATGACCCTTCTGGCCACCCTGGAAAAGCCAAGTTGCAGCTTCTTCCCTCTGCCAAAAGATACGTTTGTTGAGATGCAGGACATCTCGTTTTGCTAACAGCTTCTTTCCACAAGCTGTTAATTTCCTTTGTATGTTTTATAACAAACGGCTACTTTTACTGATGTAAAGCCATTATGAAAAACTCACATTGAGTAATAGATCAATAGATGTATGTAATGCATCAATGTAATCATTACAAATGAAACCTGCCATGTACTTTTTACTGCAAATCACCAGTACGATGGCACATTAAAACCCCAACCAGAGAGAAGTGTAATCAGAACGTGGCAGGCTGCTCTGATGATGTGGCAGTACATCAAACTGACAAATACAAAGTCTACAAAACATGCAGGTTTTTAATTGGAACAAAATGCATTCATCAAGAACACCTTGCACACTGTCGAAAGTACAGCCTTATCTGAAATCCTTCTGAATCATGCCTTCAGTCAGAGCCCCAGGATGGAAGATAAGATGATTATCCAGGGCAATAAAAAGGACAAATCTAAACTACAGTACTGTAGATATTTCTGAACAATAGGAGTTTATTGTTTGGATTGAACCAATGCTGTACCAAATATAAAGCCTATGTATTATATTAAATCCCATTATCATCAATACCAATAAGTAATATCAGAGTTTGACATGCCTGATTTAAACTATACAAGAATACCCAATCAAATAATCACTTCTGAATCAACCAAAATAAATAATAATATTGACGTATTCTTGATTATCAATTCACCTCAGCAAAACTACTCCACACCATACACAGTAAAACCTGCTGCCCCTGAACCACATACTGTATATGCTGCTTTTTCCTCTCCTGAAATTCCTTTCGTGTTGCATATCTCTCAGGGCGCCTCACACACATTTCACTTGTACCTGTTCTGTCAGGAATTAAAACCTTACATCACGCTGAAGAAAAACACATTGCTGTCCATTTTTCCACTGACATGTTTAAACATTCCGCTGACAGATAGAAACGAGTTCCAATTTGAACAAAGAACACATTTTTGAATGTGAATGGCTTTATCTATAGTTTAAGTGATTATCAAAGTTGTATCCCTACTACACTAAAGTTAAATGTTAGCTAACCCTAACCCTAATGTTAGCTTTGCCTAGAATGTTCCACGACTAAATCATTATACTTAGTTCATTACATATGGACAAGCAGGTGGCTCCATCATAAGTGTTTTTTTGTAATGAAAGAAAAGAAGAACCCATGCTGCTGACCTCATCTCTGAAGTATGAGTATAAGTATGCATTTTTTCCCATTTGTGGACAAATAACCACTTTCAAATACAGAAGAGGAGTACATTCAATACAATACTTCCTACTGTACTTCCAAACAGAAAAGGCAACGTAAATATAAAATGTACTCAAAATGAAACAACAGTAAGAAACGTGGGTGGTCAGGCTGCACAATTTTGACATTTTTCTGACCCACATTGCAAATCTGTTTTAGTATATCATGTCATAAGAGTAGGATTGTGTTTGGAGTGAATAGATCCATTTCAAGTGTTGCATTTGAAAAACACAATTGTCATTCTCCACAAAACAGGATTTTTCTGCCAATAATAATTTCTGTGAATGCACAGCAAAAATGATTACAATTATTTTCAGATAAACTTGAATACATTTTATTATACAGCTTCAAATCAAGCTCAGTATTAGCTTATCTTTTGTTTGCATGAGACTTGATAATAAGTGATCCGCTTTGCAATTTGTGAGTACTAAAATTGCGATTAACCGTGCAGCCCCAGTGGATGAATGAACGAACGAATGATCAATCGCACCTTGAGTTGTGGTCTGGTTGCCAGGTAGTGTCCCAGAGCGTACAAAGACAGGAGCTGAGTGGAGGGGAGTTCAAAGGCCTCCTGGACCATCACCTCCTCGACGATCGCACACGCACCTGTACAAACATGTCATTACTCATTTGTTTTATTAGCAGTGATGTTGACTAAACTAACAGACCATGACATTCCCCAATGATTTCACAACAGTAATTATGTGGTTGAATAATTATATCATGCAAAAAGAGGCGGTGTATGCATTGACAAAATAGCTGCATGTTGAATATACATTATATACAGTAGTGGCCATTGTGATAGCAGGCCAAACATCCAGGTGTTTCATAACCTCTGCGCAGCGCAAACAAGAGGAAGTGTTTGAAACCCGATCTAACCTGGACAAACAGTCTGTTCCAATGCACATTTTGGGCTCGAGAAGAATGCGTTCTGAACATACTGCGGTTGTTCCTGCTTCCGCCCCACCATATACAATAGACTTACTTTTATAGTCCGAATCTTTAAGGAACGAGTCGATTAGCAGGTTGAAGGTGAAGCTGTCTGGGAATATGCCATACTGGACCTACAGAGATAAAAAACTAAGCATCAATGACAACACATATCTAATCAATTCAATGTATTCTTGTATAGCCCTAAATCACAACAGTAGTTATCTCAGAGGACTTTACAAAACCGATGAATTTGCCAACACAGATCAGAGAAACAACAGTTCAAACACAAGAAATGCATGGATAAAAAAAACACATGCTGCCGTTAGGTCAGTTAATACGCAGAAACAAAGTTTCCTATCATAACTATGCAGACGACACTCAGATCTACTGTATGTCTCACTGACTGCAGGAGAACATGGACCAGTGGACTCACTCCTTCACTGTATCCAACAGATCAGTGAGTGGATGCAAAACAACTTCCTTCAGCTAAACGCAGACAAAACTGAAATGATTGTCTTTGGTCCCCAGAAACAAAGAGAGAGCGTCATCTGTCACCTACAGTCTCTCTCCCTAAAACCTTCAAACAAGGTCAGAAATCTGTTTAGCTGTGCATACAACTGAGGGATTTTATATTTTTATCTTTCTTTTTAATGTTCTGTGATTATTTATGATTTTAATGCTTTCTTGTTTTGTTCAGCAATTTGAATTGCCTTGTGTATGAATTGTGCTATATAAATAAACTTGCCTTGCCATAAAGCCATTGATCCATATGAAGCAGATGACCCTTATTTATGCAATACACCGGGGCAAATGTATGTGGATTCGCTACATGCATGTCACCCATAATGCTTGTCGGCATTGATGGGGATAGCAGGCATAGATTCGGTGATAATAGAAGAGCATAAAGACGTATTGTCGTTAGAGCAGAGTTTTTCCTGTCCTCTGTAGATCTTTCAGTCTTGTGTAAAATAGTAGTTCTGGGTTGAGTTTTTGACTGCTAGGAGCAATTAAGAGCACAGCCATATTAGTGTTTCCCCCTTATTCTATGGCAGTTATTTTACTCAGAAACACACAACGTTGGTGATGAATCTTTCTTCTAGCTTGCCTCCTGCTACTATCCCGCGAGGCACAAATAATTATAGTATTGAGCAAGTAGCAAATATGGACAATTCCAGATACTATAGTGGCATACATTAGTGATTCATTCCATATACGATGGTGGTAAGCAACTAATGAAACTACAGCTGCCCTGTGACAGACTGGCAGAAGCAAGGCTGACATTCGTAGCCATCGGTTCTATGACCAACACCGTTAACTCGCACCCCAGACTCTCACACCTGGCCAATGAGAGAGAAGAGTCTTGCCTAAGTACACAACAGCCTCTGTGGCACCTGGCATTATCAGTGCTCTTCCATCCAAGTCGTGACCTTGCACTTATCTTGCTTGGCATTCAATATGTTTTTGGCACTTACTTAGTTGATGAGAGATATTATTTTGCTAATGAAGTGTTGCTTTGTTCATGTAATTGTAGGAGGAAAAGCCTAAAATTCTCATTTGAACACATTAGGGACTCTGGATTAATTATTTATCAAAATATAGTGCTATAGTCACTTTTAATTTAATTGTACATAATATATCTTGCACAAAAGAGACCAGCATTTAACTTTTTAACATGTCTGCACATTTCCTGTCTTTTCCACAACCTGAGTGATACTGTTTATGCCAAATGTGATGTACATTTCACATGAGATCAATAAATATCTGATCTTAAAATTAGTTAATGTTCACTTTCAAGCTAGCTGCGTTTCATATAAAACTTACTTGAACTTTAGCACAATAGTAAACGATTTACAGGACCTCTTTTAGATTTTCTGATTCCTAAATCTTGATTATGCTCAGTTGATATGAATTATTGGGTATAATAAAACTATGAAAATATGTGAGTTTTATATTGTGATCCTCATGTAGTTTTTCATCATGAGTAAATCAGATAACTTATAAAATGCATCTGGGGGGCAGCACTTGCTCTAATTGTTCAGAATGAAAGAAAGCTTTGATCCGCATTCCTTGATAACTTTGTTTACACGGATGCCGCCTCCTTCTTCTTTCCAAACATCATAAGAACGCCTGTGCAGATGAAGAGTATACAGTATTAACTTTATGTACCTTGTTTTTTAACGTGTGTAGGGCTTTCTCCCTTCTGCCATACTTCAAACACTGCCGTACCCAGCTGTGAATGGTCCAGTCCCTCAAGTACCAACAATTTGGACTGTGACGGAACCTAAAAGTAGATTACACATATTACTGAGATACATTTACATGATTTTCAGGCAATTCTCAAATTCAAAATCACCTCCATACACAGACTTAACACATTTCCAAATATATATGAACAAGCAATTTTAAACGTACTTGTACAAATAGTATTCTGCTTGATCGACTTCTTCTGCAGAAGTTATGTTGTCAACAAACTATAAATCAGAGGAATGTCATCAAATGGTATCAAAACATATTCATGGAACAAAAGATATTCACAAATGACCGAATAGTTGGTAATTAACTCACTCGTGACACTGTCAAAGAGCTCACAGGCAGATTCCGGTCATATGTTCTGTCCATTAGGTTGGCCAACGTAGCTAAAGGCAAAACACATGAATTGATGCACAACAGACAAAAGAAAACCTCAGATATAATAAAAAAACAAATTGGTTTATTTTATGAATCTAAGTGTAACTGCAAGTTCAAACTGCATTTGAACTTGTAGCACCACCCCGTGTTGGAGGATGATCGCATGAGATACAAAGGGTTTTGCGACAAGATAAAAGTAGATTAATAATAAATACTTTTGGAGTATCTATTATACTCCAACTGTGATTCTATTAATACGTTTATCCTGTCACAATAATTGCTGTATATTTATTGTTTATTAACTGATAACTGGACAAAACAATAATATTTTGGGCGTTCATCACAAAATTTGAGATGTTTTTTCTTCTATTCTTTACATAAAAAAGGCTATTTATAATCACCCTACATACTTTTAATGAAATTGACAAATAAAATGAAAACTTTACTTGATTATCTGCTTTACTGCACAAGTGTTTTAGTGGCATAGTTTGAACATCATCTTTGAGCGTATTCTTTTTCATAATCAATAAATATTTGTAAGAAGTAGTGCCTTCACTCGAGAGCACTTAATAACCTTACCCAAGTTTTGAGGGTCCTTCTCTCTGGCCTCCCAGACTGTGGTGTCTCTGTAAGCTGCAGACAGCAGGCATCTTCTTACTGTATCAACACATATAGCATTAAATCATAAAGGATGCCAAGATATTTGTTAATGTATTTATTAGCATTTCAGTGTTGTCAAATCTAGCAACCAGTACATTGCATTCATTTTAGTATACCAAAAACAATCGACAAACCCCTTAATAAAACCGAGTGGTGGAAAGATTGCGCAATGAAATGTAATGGAACTATAAGATGAACTCACCGGTGAAAGATGATGTAAAACATTTCACTTTGACAGCTGCAGTCACACAGCGCTTCCACACGGAGGCCGCCATCTTGGAACAGTCCAAGTATCTCCAAACAGAAGGGCAAATGCACACGGGAGAAACCATACGGCATGATGCTTATTTCTAAAATATGTTTATTTTTTTTCGTAAGTTTGGACAATTGTGTAGTGAAATACTGATATTGAAAAATTGTGAGTTGCATTTAATTCTTGTAAAGCTTAATTTTCAAGAAGTCGCGTTTTTCTCATAGACTGTAAGTAGTTTTTTCTGCCAACAGATGACGCCATTTCTCTGGGCACAGACCACAGTCTAGGGACACTGATCATGTATGAATGTAAACTCATCTTTGCTTCTTCTGTGGTTTAGATAGAACAACGAAAATACTTTTTCATGTGTTTCTCTGAACACTGAAAATAGCTTAAACTATTATTTTAAATACAAGTGTGTTATCCATGACATATTTCTTAATTTGACCCCATTTACCAGGCCAAAAACTTGTGATGATTACAAATGGTGAATTTTGTTTTGAGTTGAAATGTTTTAATGTGATTCTTTTGAAAGACCAGTTAAATGTATTACCTTGTAAAGATGTTTTGGCTGCAAAGATGCCTGGTGACAGTTCTGAAGATGGCTTTTGACATCTAACTTTGTCTTTCAATAGAACCACAAACAGCAGGCCAAAACTCATCGTGGAGATGTGTGACATGGTGGACATGCATAATCTTTTTAAATACTTTTTTAATGCTTTTTAACTGTTTTATTATTTGAATGCATGATTGTTTAAATTTATTTTTTGTGATTTTATTGTACTTTGGTCACCTTGAGTGTTGTAGGGATCTATAAATACAATTGATTGATTGAATTTTCTTTTTTTCTGAGATAATCTGGATGAGACACGCTGGACAAATGATGGATTACACTGTCTGTATTATTTTTGCTCAAAGCGAATTAATTGTGTATGTTTTATGTCACATCATCATCTGCAAAGGTATTTAAAGAAACTTACCCATTACAACAACGTACGGAGTAGAAAGTACATGTAATTTGAGTTTATGATTATATATGTAGTGATACCAAGAAAAACTAGTTCAAGTACTCAAGAAATACTTGCTTGCCACTTACAGTAATTGTTTATTCCCCACTGTGGGACAAGTAAAGGGCTTGTTATCTTATTACATGTAAAATTGATCACTCCAATATTTACTAGGATATGGTATTTTTCCGGTACATTTTCTCCTTCATTAACTTTAGAGTTGTGTGAAAAGAGGTGGCAGGTTGATTGGGTGGGGCAGTGTTATTAAACAAAACATGGAAGAATTTGAACATCCTCTTGTGAGCCTTCTGTCCAGCAAAACAGGAAGCATTCACCTGAACAAAGCACAAGCACCATACCAAATGAGGGTAAACAAGGACCCTGCAAAGATCAAGATTTAGGTTGGCTAAAGATGAAGATAGAATTACCTAATGTATTTGTTTGTTTATTTGCATTTTAGGCAATCCTCAAAGTGAAAAAAGGCTGCTGCAAGTTGGATACGTTGGTGATCGTACAGTCCTAAACAAGTGCAGAAATTATCTTAATATAAATTTATATATAATACACATTATTAACTGCAATCTAAAGCCGCATTGTGCAATCACCATCATGCAATCATCATCACCTGATTATCTCCATGGAGACCGTATATGATTGAAATATACAGTTGCCTCCTGTCTTTTATTACTGCTGGGGTAGAAAGTTTACACATTCTAGCAGAAATTTTTACATTTTTTGGCCACACTTCAGAGATTATGAAGGATAACGCAAAACAAAATCAGATGTGTGAAGTAATTTATTGTCAATAAAAGTCTATGCTTTTTTGACATATTTACAATAGAAACGTTGCAAATTCTCCTTGGGAAAAAGTCAAATTCCTGTAAATTCTTAGGCCGCTTTGCATGAACTGCACATTTGAGATCTCCTCAGAACGTGTTTTCCATTAAAAATAGAAAACAAATGGGACAAATGACAATATATGGGACTAAAACGTGTGTTAACGCTAATAATACGAATAATCTGCCAAATATTGACATAATGAAATCTATAGCTGGGTGTGAGGTAATGCTGATATTTAACAAACTGCATGACTGAACATCAGCTTTTTGTCATGGAGATAAATACTGTAAGTTGTAAGTTCTCATCCTCAGAGCAGTTTCACTTCACTAAAGTCCATGTCTTCTGTCATGGTTCCTCCCATGTTTGTGTTTCAGTTGTGTGATGCTCTTGGTGCTGTGGTTGTAGTGCAGACCAAAGGCTGGGAATGAACCGTAAAGGTGAGGGGAAAGGAAAGGAGAGGAGGATGTGAGAACTTCCTCAAACTGTTTGCAGTTTCAGCCCAATGGACACGGTGGTGGTCGCAGGCAGAAAAGGAGAAGCTTCTCTTCTGCATTTCACCGGAGCAGAAATGACTGTTTACCTGCGCGGCCAGAGGGAGAAAGTCTCACAGTTACTGTAAACCGGACAATGTCATGTGCATACGGTCTATTTCATTTTACTCTGATCCCCTGCAGCGAGCGACAATGACAGTATGATTTAGATGCATATTTGATAATTTTTATGTTGCTACAACACAACTGAAATACAGCAAAACTATTTCCTACTAGGTTTTAGAGCTTTTCCTTGCCGATGCAGGAGGCTCTGACTGTCAGAGGGTCTAACCAGAGGCAGTGGTGATGATCCAGGACACTCAACATTCAAAAGCATTGAATGTTTTTATCGATGCATTTCTTGTGCTGAACGGTTGATTCTCTGATCTGTTTTGGCAAATCAAGAGTTTTGTGAAGTCCTCCGAGATAACTACTGTTATGATTTAGGGATATACAAGAATACATGGAAATGAATTGAATTGAAAACTAAAGGCTAACTGCTGCAAGCAAACAGAGTATTGCTATGGCACTTGCACTTAACTAGCACCAGGCTAAGATTGCTCTGAACCGGTCTACAATCGAGATAATTTCATAAACCTAATAAATAACATAAATCCAATTACACGTAAATAAACTAAATATAGAAACAGAAATAGTCACAAAGTTTTTAAGACCAAAAATACAGAAAAACTTGTGTTTACATTTCCAAAACAAAAAGCCATCAAATTGAATTGTCAACAGATTGACTGTATAACATTGACTGAGTTGAACATGTGCAATATTGTTAGTAACCTATAGAATTGTGGTTCTGCTGCTGGACACTTCTCCTACGGGGATCATTTAAGATTAGGAGTTCCTTTATTCATCCCATGGGGAAATTTCTATAAAGTATCTGTCTATCTATCTATCTATCTATCTATCTATCTATCTATCTATCTATCTATCTATCTATCTATCTATCTATCTATCTATCTATCTGTCTATCTATCTATCTATCTATCTATCTAAACATATCTGTGCATCCACTCAGAGTTATTGTCTTGTCTGAAATGTTCCACACAATGGCAATAAACTTGGACACATGTCCAACTCACAGTGACTGCAGCAAACATTATATCTTCAGGAGCCAAATCCTAAAGCTTGACCTGAATATCTCAGAAGATAAGCAGATAGAGCCTGGTTACTTGGATGGGAGTGGGTGCTGACCGAGCTTTACTGTATAAAGAAAATGTGATTGATTGACTGAATATTGCTATCAAGAAGTTAGATGAGCTGATACTTAATTGTCAGACTGCAGATGTGAGTTCAAATTGAATGCAATGAAACTGCAGCTCAGTCAAAAACAATAATATTACAAATAGACGCACAGGATACTTAAAGTTTTTCTCAGTCGCTTTGGTGCATTTCTCACATCAGACTTAAAGTTCTCAAAACTATTAGTTCAACCTCCACAAGATTGGGTCATTTGTGCTCATCATTGTTCCAGTGAACACATTTCAAATGCTTTTGGACATGTATCAGTTACTTTCATACAATTCTCTGCTGTTTTAAAACATTATCATTTGCTTCTGTCCTGTCAAGTCAGAATGAAACATACTGTACGTATGACTTCTGCTGAGTCATTCCCTATAAAACCAATAGTCCTCATTTAATCGCTTTGGTCATCACATTCAAAATTGTTGAACTAGTTCTCAAAATAAATATTTGTCAAGCTAATTTCACACATTCCTTTATCATTTTTTTCCCTTAAATCTCTCCTAAATTGAACAATTTCTCTTAGTCAAGAGGAAGTGTGTGTTTTATTGTTTACATTTGTCACAGTTCTACCATAATGACATTTCTTGTATCTTTGTTCTATGTACATGTTTGTGACTGTAGGGTACACAGACATACAAACATACTGTATACATACATACAGCACATGTACATATGTACTGTATGTTTGCATGTATCTATGTATGTATGTATGTGTGTATGTATTGTATGTATACAGTACATACACACATACATACATACATACATACAGTACATACAGTACATAGATACACACATACATACACATATATGTCAGTTATCTCTCTAAATACAGTCTTTGTGTAACTTTACTGTAGTTGTTACTGTAAATGGCTGTACAGGTTGTGTATAGTGTGCTCATAGTCGTGCTCAAGTGTCACTGAGATCTGACTTTTTTACAGTGAAAACACAGAGAGAGTAAACTTTCACAATGAAAACGTGACTAAGTCATTTGACTGTGTTGTTCATACTCAATGGTGTCAGGACATATTATTTGTTGACACAGACAGTTTCATTGACATGAAGACTGGCTTTTGAGGGATTGACTTTTCATTTTGAGAAAGTGATGCACTTTTGCAGGTGATCCACGAGGTTTTGCAGTTTGCACTAATTGTTCTGAGAAATGCACCAAGGACCCTTGACTTTGCTCCCATCAAGACCTCCAGCCCATTCCGTTTTTGAGTCTGATTTTATTAGAGGGTGACATGTAACCGATGCTCGGATGGAAACAGCTCATATTCTGAGTTCAGTCTGGTTTGGGTCAGAGATGATGTCCTCTACCAGCCACAGCCTCAAACGGACCGTCCAGAGGCTGACCAGCAATATGAGAGCAAATTTGTATTCATGTTTGAGTCCCAATATACAGGCGCTGACAGACACTATTTAGATGTGTTTCTTATAAATTAGAGAACAGGCTGACAACAAAGAATGGTCATGTGTTTCTGAAGGGTCAGTTATGTATTCCTTACGCCAGTGACACCCTAGTGGGGGACAGGATATGAGTCACAATAGGATTTTCAGATTCTCCTGATTTAACAGAATATTTAACATACGATTATATAGAACAGGACATTCAAAGACTCAAATAAACAACGTTACAATGGATTCAGCTTTATGTTTAATTCCAAAGCTTATATAGGGTTGGAATCCCTAACTTTGTTCTACAATACTTTTATTTTCCTCTATTTTTGGGAAAGCTTCTGCAACCTGCTGAAACAAAGCGTTATTGTGAGGTATAGAAACTTATGAAGTCTTTGTCTGGAACACCCACTGTGACCAAGAGCCCTGTTTGATCCCAACCTGAAAGAGAGAAGAGGAGAGGTGTTTTCTCTTCCTCTTCCTCTGCTTTGAAACACAAGCAGGAGCAGACAGGCAAGTCCTCTGCAACTCACATCCACTCTGCCTATACTCATCATGAGACGTTTTAGCATTCAGAAGACACAAACTACACAAGAAATGGTTTTATTTATAAGAATAAGAATTGTAAAAAAGATTTTTTTTTGCATTTATTATCTATAATGTTCATACAATAAACAAGTCCAGGATTCAAATAAAAAAACAATATCAAAATAGCATGAAATCACAGTTATGGTAAGTATGATTAAGTTATGCAAATATATTATTATTTTATAACAATAAGCAAGGTACATTTGGAATCATTTTTGTGGTAAAAAAAAAACCAGTGCAGTCTCAATTTAAAGCATCCCCTCATCCCCCTCACTCTGAAAACAACGTGTAATAGCTGGATATATTAACACTTTACATATATTTGGCTTTTGTTTAAAACACAATAGAAATTCACAGTTTTTTTTCAAATCAACCTGCGACACACTCAGTTCCAGTCTTTGGTTTGATGCACCTCCACTTCCCTAACTTCCTCTGCTCTGTTCCTCCAAAACTCACTTGTTTCTCTCATTTTTTGTCTTCTTCCTCATTCTGTTTACATCCAACTTCCACCATCGCACCTTTATAATGTTACATTATAATACAGCACTATTAGAAATCCCCCCTGACCTTCTCTGGTTCCTCTGTCTCTCATTGGTGACAGTTTACTTTGCTTTTACCGTAAATGCATCGTTGTGTCGGAGAAACGATGGACGAGTAGCAATTAGCACGTAGCAAATGTCATTATAAATAAAATAACTTTAAAACAAATAACACTAATTGTGCTGTAGTTAAGACCTGAAACATGTTCACACCTAGCCAGAGATTATTGTCTTTTGCCAGATTTTGGATATGAATGACACTAAACATAACTTTTAGAGGTGGTAAGTGATTGTGGGTAGCCATATAGTCAAATAAAAGGATGTTATATATTTTCAATTCATAATATTACTGCACATTTCAGATTTCAGATGCAAGGCGGCCCAGTAATTTAAGAAGAATGAGCAGCTTTGCCGTCAGAGAGGATACAGAATCTCATCCACACCTACCACTAAAGATTCCAAGCTGTACAGATGTTAAAGGGGCAGTGCACACTACTGAGAAGGGAGGATGGAGACTTCTAATCAGGGTCAGAAGAGGAGAGTCTGTTGACATTATCATTTGAAAACAATAAATGGCTTCACACAACCACAAACCATGGGAATTTCTGCTATTTCTGCCTGGGCATGTCAACTTTCAAGCACAGTTGTGTTGAAATGTATGAGATGTATTGGTCTAATTACTATTATCATAATTTTCTTTTTCATTTCTCTCTCAAAAGCAATTGCTTGTTGTAAAATCCATACTGATGCTTGTTGGAATAACTACAGTGACAAACATATATTCATACGGACACACACACACACACGCACACACACACGCACACACACACACACACACACACACACACACACACACACGCACGCACACACGCGCACACACACACATTGTTCCAAATAAAGATTATTTTCAAAAGCTACAATAACATATTTCCTTATAGTTCACAGTCCTCAACAGTGTCTGACAGTTGCTTGTCCTGCTCCGTCTCCTCCTCCAGTGTCTCGTTGTGGGTTTCTTCAGAGCCATATTTATGACTTCTATACACACTCTCTTCATCATCTTCTTGTCCGGAGCTTCCTGGAACGCTCTCTCCATCAGACTGGGCGGAGCGCTGCCCTGAGACCCCCACGGGCTTCTGGGACAGGTCGAAAGGCTCCTCTTGGTTGAAGTGGGTGATCAGGCTGACGGAGCTGGGCAAGCAAAACCGCCCCCTCTGTCTGAAGACTGGAGAAAACCAAAGAAGGAAATGTGTTCAGAAGCATTATTTTTGTATTGATTTGTAGATTCAACTGGTTTAGTGATGGAGACAGATCCGATGTTTCAGATTCAGTCTCTTTGTCATTTGCAATTTAAAACCATAGTGGACAATGTGTGCAAAAGTACCACAATTCCTAAATAAAAGACAATAGGCCTGTAGTTAAACAATTAATGATGTGAAACAAGGATACAAAAAAGCAGTAAAGTGCTGGATCAACCATTAAAGTGCTCTAGTCTAGACTAAAAACTGGAGGCCACTTTTATAAGGTGAGATGTCCTGCATCTCAATGAACAATACATTCTCTGAGAGGCAAGAAGCTGGAACATGAGTTTTCCAGGGTATTGACAAAAGAAGGAACTCGCTTTTAAAGTCTTGTTCCAAAAAGAGCATAAGAAATTATTTACAAGTGAAACTCACACTATTGGAATATTGTTTAAAAGTTAATTTTATGTGAAACTATTACATGACAGATGCATTTCAGGCAAAGTGAGATACCGTAAATCAAGCCCATTTGTTATGATGTTGATAATTGTGGGTCAAATCTGTAAAAACCCCAAATTAAAATAGAATTAGATAAATGATAAATAATAAAAAGGAATATTTTGAAAGTGAGGCATTATTATCCAAATTAAAGCAAACAAAGACTTGGTGTCACTTTGCTTGTAATGAGTGCATTTCATTTGACGGTTTCACATTTAAGTTTTGAAAATTTTTAAGTTTAAAAGTTTAGCTTCCAAACACATTTTAGCTGGAGGAATAGAAAAAAAAAAACGAATTTGTCAGTCATTTCACCAAACTTGTTGCATATGATTTGGTTGCAGAAATATAGCTTGTACAGTATACTGTCTGTACTGTGTTTAGTGGGTGAAGACACTAAGGCAAAGTGCGATGTGTTCCACTCACGCCTCTTGTCCAGGCCGCGGTCCATGATTCCGTGTTTGACCTTCATGTGTCTGGTCAGGTTTCCCTTCAGGGTGAACTTGCTGGGGCAGTAGAGGCATTTGAAGGGTTTACTGTCAGAGTGCAGGTGCATGTGGCCCATTAGGTTGTGCATTCTGTTGAACTCCTTCCCACAAAGCTGAAAAACAAACAATAATAAATGTCAAATAATATATACATGTTGTTGGTCTTAACAGAAAGAGGCTTGTAAAAGTATAATGTGAAAAATCAGACCACGACAGGCTGTCTTTGTTGTATTAGAAAACATACTTGCATAATATCAGTAAGACAGAACCCTGTGCGTCACTATTTGACACTTTGGGCTGAGAGCTACTTGACTGAGTCCTCACTTTTCCACTTTTCTGTCTGAAAAAGTTGAACTAAAGATGTGACAGAGGCCAAGAATACATGCATGTGAAAACTGTTTTGAGAGAGAGGGACAAGTTAGATGGATTTTATTACTGCTAAGTTAAGTACTCTAGCTTTAAGTCAAATTAAATTAATATTATCTGATCATAAACAGTCGATTTCTGTCATTAGTGTCTGCATATAGTTTGAATTAAATAGTGTAACAACTAGGTGCATATTCTAATACTAGTCCATTCTTCAAATTCCTATTGTGGATCATCAGTTGTTTGTTTTTCTCTCGCTGCCAACACTTCTTCAAAAACAGACAGGCTTTCTCAGAACTCAGAATAGCTGTAGCACCATACGACGTCACCATGAATGAATGTGGCAGACCATCCAGACCCTCCCTGCTCTTTGATTTCCCCTTTTTTCTCTTTTCACCCACTTCTGGACACACGCATAGGAACGGCATTGGAGGAAACCTGGTGCAGACAGGAGCTGAACATGGAAGGGCTGCTCCTGTGCTGTCCTTCCTCTGCATTCTTTCTTACGAGGGCGGTCCTTTCCTTCAGGAGGAGAGAGGGACTGTAACTGTCCAAGAGGACCGTGAGAAAACAGGAAGCAGCAGAGAAAGCGAGATGAAATCTATTTGCAGGGCTCGTTCTCGGGAGAGACTGGAGGCCATTGTTAGAGAGGCGTTTGCACTGCGATATCCTTCCTATGGACAAGGAGGCTGCCACTGCCAAAAGCCTCCCTGGTATCTGGTCACTGACTCTAGCCAAGCGCCAAAAGCAAGGTCAACAAATGGAAGGCTTTTTATAGCAGCTGCTTTGGCTAAATATTACAAGTTTGGAATGTCTAATGACAAGTCCAATGGGTCTGCAGGAAAAATTAAACTTGGAATTTGATCAGACCAAAAATAGAGAATCATTACATTACAAAGTTCAAAACTTCAATCTCTAATTCCTTTTGTTTAGGTTTCATTGTAAGTAAGTAAGTAAGTAATGTTTATTTATACAGCACATTTTACAGACCAAGGTCACCTAAAGCCCTTTACAATGTTCAGAGTCAGATATTGATCCAATCATTCCACACACGGTGATGACGGAAGCGAGTCGCCGAACACACTGGACCATCAGCCCCCAACCAACACCATCCATTCACTCTCTCATTTACATTCATACCTATTTTGCATGTTTTTAGTCGTAGGGGAAACCAGAGCACCCAGAGGAAACCTACGCAGACGGGTAGACAATGCAATTTCCACTCAGAAAGGCCCTGTTCCGACTAGGATTCAAACCCAGGACCTTCTTGCTGCTAGTTAGAGTGCTATCCACTCAGCCACCGTACCATTACATTAAATTTTTATAACCCATCATCAACAAAAAACTGTATTCTAACCATGACACAAGATGATTATTCTTTAATGTCAAGCTATACTTTATTCATCCTCTGCATTTGACCCATCCATAAATGCCACTGGGGAAACCTGTGGCTGGATACCCATCTCCACATGCTGATGGTTTTTGGTGGGTATTGTGTGAAACCGGAGCGCCCAGAGGAAACACACCCAGGCACGGAGAAAAGCAAACAAACTTTCACACAGTGAGGCCTGGGTCCAGCTTGTCACTGGTCCGGATCCAAGGAATGGACCAGTGACCTTCTCCCTGTGAGATCTGAGCACTATCCACTCACCCACAATGCTGAAAGTGTAAAAATGTCCTTGCCGATTCAGGAGGGTCCAAGGACGGTGACGATATGGGTCATTTAAGGATACTGTATTTATTATAAGTTATGGACATTGGTCATCCCGCTTCTTATGAACCAATGGCTCCTATGTGTTTATAATAAATGCATTTCCTGTTTTCAATCTTTGTATTGTCCTGCGAGACGGCTGTTGTTGTGATTTAAGGCTATACACAAATTTAATTGAGGACAAAGGGCCTCCCAAATAATCACTCACATACTTTGATAAGAATGATCCATGTTGTCCAAATATTTATCACAATCCGTTATGATAAATGTTACATAATGAATGAATATGTTTAATATCAACAATGCCTTTCACCCTAATGACATCAACATTTTGCTCGGTGCTTTGAAGTAGTTTGAAAAAGCCAAACCTTGCACTTGTACGGCTTGATGTCAGAGTGGACGATCATGTGAGCCTTCAGCGTCTGCTTCTGCACAAAGCTCTTGAAGCACATGTGGCACTGGTAGGCGCGGACATTGGTGTGGATCAGGACGTGGCGCTTCATGTTGGCCAGAAGAGTGAATTCTCGACCACAGATGCGGCACTTATGTTCCTTCACCCCCTGCACGCACACACAGACCCAGACGAGGAGTCAAAGGTTAAATATTACGGATGATTGTTGTCCTTTAAAAATTATAATCAAACTTTTTACTTTGTCATTTCATGTTTTTAGACTGTGAATGTATGTCTTGAGTAAAAATTATCAAGTGAAACAAGGATGAAGAGGGAAAAAACTGCATTCCACCTGTAACTCTCTCTGCTACCACCAGAGGGAGGAGCTGAATTTGCCTTTGTTTGTTTTTTCTTTTCTTTTTTTCAAATTGAAAAATTACAAACACAGCCATGCAATTACAAAGAACGCCGTTTCAGCCTATCATCATATTATTGCAGAACTGAGACAGGAGCTTTAAATGCCTTGGTTTTATTTAGCACTTTTATAGATCCTGGTTAGAATCTATAAAGTCGCCAAATCAGCCTTTTACAGTAAACAGCTAATTTGGAGACCGGGTTTATGCATTTTATACTGCATTTCTGCTCTTTTACTGTATTTATATATTTATATTTTGTGTTTCTATGTTTTTGTGTACCCCCACTGGTGCTCCCTCTAATGAAGTTCTTCACGGGTGAATAAAGTTATTTGAATTTGAATGGAATTCGAAGGGGTAGAGTTAAAATGATAATGCCAGAAGTCCCTGTTATTAGCGTGGACGGATCTAAAAATCTAAAAACAACTCCAGGTCTGTCTTTGAGGGTACAATGCTCTATTTTTTGTTTTACTTCCCTTTTTGATTTACAGGCAAAAGAACAAAAAATATTGGTTGTAATCTAAAAGTACTGTTTTGTCATCAATTATCAGCAGATTCACTTGACGACAACCTGTCATCTCGGTGCCACTTCAAGTTTCAAAAGGAAAATCTGAAAGGAAATTCTGGAAGTTGTTGGAATAAAACATCTCAGAGTCAAAACTCAATCAGCTGCCAAAAAAACCGACTGGGCTCAAGTCCAATGTCAGGTTTCAGTTTCTCTGCAGACTCATAAAGTTCCATCCGTGTCTCCAGAGTTGATAACAAGCTCAAAATATTAAACTTGTTATGATGTTATAGGTTATATTTTAGAGGTGATAACAAAACAATCAAAATTATAAAAAAACAGTTTTATATCTGTGTCTAATTTTTTTTTTTACATACAATAAATACATTAAGCAAATATAATAAATACAGTAGAGACTGTTGAAATATTTATGGTGTATTGTTGTTTTTTGATTTGTAATTTATAAGATTCGCTCAGTGAAACATTTTAATCAATGGAATAAAAAGGTGCACTATGTAACTTTTCTAGTCTCAATTTTTCCATAAAGACAAGTTGATGATGTCACCAGGCCCAGTTATAGGTCATATCTGTGGAGAGGAGAGCCCTAAAGGAAACTGTTTCTTTTATAGCCTTCTTAAATCAGTTGACATAACAATGTGAATATGTTTTGCCATTACAGAAACGACTTTCCAGGCAAAACGATAATGCTTCTGCTAGGAAAGTCACATAACTTAAAGATAAAAAAGTAGTGTTTTGTATGCCATTCTGTTTACAAGTTGTGAGGGCAGCAGGGACGCCCAGATTACCCTCTCCACTAGGGGTGGGAACCTATAAGGGTACCTCACGATACGATACGATACACGATACAAAGCTCACAATAACGATAATATCACAATAACGATAATATCACAATAACGATATCACGATAACGATTTTATCACAATATGACGATTATTGATATATTGGTCAGAAATATACAATATGCCAATTTATGGCATAAATAAAAGAAAAAATACTCTTTATTTCATGATAAATAGAATGGAGATGCATAATGTAGCCATATATTAAGTATTGATATTTAAATTGTAAAAACAAAATAAAAAAAATGCCATTTTTTTTTTTTTTTTTCAAAATCGATATCGATAGTTGGCAAATGCATATCGATAACCGAATCGCGGGAGAAAGTATTGCGATATATCAAAAAATTGATATATCGTCACACCCCTACTCTCCACACACTTCCTCCAGCTCCTCTGGGGGAATGGCAAGGCACTCCCAGGCCAGCTGAGAGACATAGTCCCTCCACCGTGTCCTGGGTCTTTCCCTAGTCTCTTCTCGGTGGGATACAGTAGGCCTGGAACACCTTCTCAAGGGGGTGTCCAGGAGGCAGTCAAAACAGATGCCTTAACCACCGTAACTGGCATCTCTCGTCCTGGAGAAGCAGTGGCTCTCATCTGAGCTCCTCACCCACTCTATAAGGAGCACCCAGCTACGCTGCATGGAAACTAATTCTGACCTCTTGTGTCCGCAATTTCTTGTACCCAGAACTTTTATTTTTAGATGTAAACAACCTAAACACACAGATTTATTTGTAGAAGTGGTGAAAACCCAGTGATGTTGCGTACCTTGTGCGTGAGCGTGTGCTGCTTCAGGTGGTGCGACTGAATAAACTCCATGCCACATTCGGAGCAGATGTATGGGCGAATGTCTTTGTGTTTCATCATGTGGTTCTGCAGCTGACTTGGATATTGAAACGTCTTCTGGCATTCTGAGCACCTATGGCAAAAATCAAAACAAAACAAATACATTTATATATATTATTCTTTTTTCTTTGTCATGTAACATAAATTATTACAATCTGTTTCGTTGTCTGCATTTTGTGGTATATTTATCCATTATCATACGAAGGGTTTTTACAGTTGGGTGGCAGTAGCTCAGTTGGTAGAGCATTGGCCTTTGGACCTGAAGGTCGTTGGTTTGAGCCCACCACAAGACTCCCACTGATGACTGCTGTTGTTGTGTCCTGCCTGAAGCCCCCACTGAATGATCTCAGCTCCTGTGGACTCACCACCTGCAGGAGGATCAGTGAGGGGCTGGTGCTCTGTGAACCGGGTGCAGCTCTAACTGCCACCCCCCGATCCAGAAATGGATTAAGGGGAAGAAAATGGATGGACGGATGGGTTTTTATAGTAGAATACGTCACAGCAGTTTAATAAAAGCTGGGTTTCAAATTTTCAAAGCACAAAAATTGAGATATGTAATAAAATCCTAGCTCTCAAAACACTTTGGTTCAATTGGTTTTCTTGTACATTTATTTGTTGGCGCTCACGTTCAGCTCTCAGTACAAAGCATCAAATAAATTCTTAGATAATGCAAAATCCAGCATGTTGTGGTCTGATTTGCAACATTTTACTTTTTTAAAACTGTTTTGAGTGGTGGTATTCATCAAAACGGTTATGAAATACTTGTATACATTATCTGTAAGAAAAGCGGTTTATGATTTGAATTGGATTGAAGTTGGTCCCATAATGTGTTCCACCGATTGGCTTCCACATTGTGTAGAGTTTCTGTCTTGTACCTGTAGAGCGTGGGGCCGCGGTGGACGGTCAGATGTCTCTTGAGCTGTGCCAGCGTCGGGAAGTCCAGGCCACACTCCACACACACGTTCTCCTGGCCTTTCTCGTGCTTCATCTCGTGGGCACGCAGCTCACTGGGGTAAGCAAAGCCCCGGGCGCACACGCTGCAACTGGAACAAGAAACAATCGTTAAAGGCTGTATACGGTTTAACTAATGAGAATATCTATGCCATGTCCATCACCTTTTTAATATACAAAAAGATTCAGGTGATGGACTCCACAAGAAAGTTATACGTGGTGGGGGCAGAGAGGCTGATGGGGTCAAATCTGTTCCATAGGTCTTTGTTTGAGAACCCTTATTTTAGAAAATAGCAGGACCTTGAATATGAACCTCTTAATCTAAGGTGAACAAGTATGAAGAATAAAATGCGTTCTGTCTGCAACCCCCTCTGCTACCACAAGAGGGAGATTTTTTTTTTTTTTCTATAATTCAAATCTGCGGCTGAAAACACAGCCTTGCAATAGTTAAGAAAATCATTTCACCTGAAAAATTGCCAAAACAAATGTGTTGCTTTACTTTTTCAGAACTGAGACAGGGGCTTTCAGACAGAAAGGGCGGAGTTACATGTTTGTGACCGAAGTTCCTGATGCTTTTGTGAATTGAATCAGTGTGGATGGATGTAAAAACATCTCCAGGTCTGTTTTGGATGAGGCAACAATGTATAAACGCTAATATATTACTGATTTTGCATGTCTAAAAATATTCTTGGTGCAAAACTCCCCATATCCCCCACGCCCGGCGCTGACACTCACCTGTATGGCTTGACGTCGCTGTGCTGCATCATGTGTCTCTTGAGATGGCTGGTCTGGGTGAAGGCCTTGTGGCACACCTTACACTTGTGCGGCCTCATGCCCCTGTGCGTCAGCAGGTGTGTGTGCAGGTGACTCAGCTGCTTGAACAACTTCCCGCAGAGATGGCAGCCGTGAGGTTTGATGCCGTTGTGCCCCAGAATGTGCGTCACCAGGTTGTACTTCGAAGTGTAGGATTTCTCGCACATCCGGCACTTCCACCGCTTCTGGTCCCCTCCCACGTCTACGTAGTAGCTCTCATCCACGTGCACGTTGATGGTTAGCTTCTCCGGGTTGGTGGCTACGGGAATATTTCGGGAAGGGGCGAGATCTCTGGGTTTGGGGGCCAAGCGGGGGTCTTCTCTCGTGTAAAACGCTCTGGGGGTGAGATGCATGAATGTCCTGGGGATGTAGTAAGGGTATGGAAGGAGACTGGGGTGTAGCGTTGGCAAGTACGGCGCGTGGAGGAGATAAGGAGATGAAGGCCAAACAGGAGTCGGACTTATCGGTTCTTGTTTGACCTGCACGACAGACTCACCTGGTTGTCTGTTTAACTCAATCATTTCTGATTTTGGAGACCTCGCACTAATGGGACGCCAAACTGCAGCTCGTGCCTTTTCCATGTTCTCTTCTTGCGAATCTTCTTGCGAATCGGTTTTGAAATGTTGGCGTGTCTGCAGTGGTGCTTCTTTTTGCGACAGGCTGTGCACGGGGAAGAAAGCAGGCGGGCTGATGATGTTGTATGCACTAGCTCTAATAGGGCTGACACCGAGATAGCCAGGACTCTGAAACTTAGGGGCTTTGATGAACAGAGGGGAGCTCAGGTAGAAGCTGTGCTCTGGAGTTGGCCGTCGATCATCTCTGGATTGGGTTGAGTCTAGTTCCATGGCCAGCCTGTAATAGCAATGAATAAAGATCATTGCAAAAAATGATTTTAAAATAAGGTCGTAATTGCTTGAATCGAATTGTTTCTATCTTAATTCAAGTACATTCTGACAAGATTTTACAATTGAACAAGCAATTTCGTCTTGCTTATTTTTCTCATTCCAACGGAGACCTTTCTTGTATCGTTTTAAAACAAATGCTATTCCCATTGGCAAATCATGTTTTACGGCAGTCAAAAGATGCTCAAATTGATACACATTTTGCCAAATTTGAGCTATTTTTGACTTGTTTTTCATCACTTTTTGCAGTGTAATTCTTGTTAATGTGAAATAAGATAAGATAAGATAGACTTTATTGATCTCACACAGGAGAAATGTACATGTCACATTTGGCATGGATAGAATCACTCAGATTTGTGCAGAAGACAGAAGTGTGCAATATGTTAAAGGCAATTTTTTTTTATTTTTCTTTACTTTTATTTACAATAAAAAAGTAGCAATTAAAAAACAGTGGCAATAGTAGTGCAGGTTTTTTGGTCCCAGCGCAAGTGATTTAAAGTGACTTAAAATGTGAACAATTCAGACCACAACATGCCGTCTTTGTCTTATTAGCATGTCATGTTTGCTGAGGCCTGCCTTGAGTCACTATTTGTCGCCTTGAGTCGAGACCTGATTGATTGAGTGAAGGTGGTCCTCTCTTTTTCACATTTCTGTCTAAAAAGATGTGACAGAAGCCAAACATACGGCAAGGTTTTGAGAGTGATGAATAGGGATTTTATTGCAAATTCAATTTTATGGTTGGAATCTTGGGTTCCCGAGATTTTAATGTAAATAAGTAAGTCATCTTGATTTATATAGCGCCTTTTACAGATCAGAGTCACAAAGAGCTTTACAATGGGGTCAGAGATGGGGTCGCCGTACAAGAGGCCAGAGCTATTGTACATTTTTTTTAGTGGTAGATGAAACCGGAGCACTAGGAGGAAATTTATGCAGAGACAGGGAGAACATGCAAACTCCACACAGACTCCACACACCTCCTGACCTGGAGGTGAAATCGAACCCAGGACCTTTTTGCTTGTCTCTGGTGTTTCTTGACAGTTGGAGGGAGCATTGCATTGGTCAGTATACAGTACATACAACCAAATAATCACTTTTAACACTTTGAGCTGTCTTCCAGGTATACATAAAGCAAACACAGACGTGACACAAACGTTACAGAATTAACATTAACAGAGAATTTTTGTGGTTTTTTCTATGGTCACATTTATAGTGAATATTTATGAATGGCCTGTTGCTCGCTTCTCATCTGCTCTGACCTCTGCTTCTGTTTTTCTATCTTTGCTTCTTCAGACGTGGACAGAAGCAAAGATAAAAAATGTGCACATTAGTTGCAACTTTTTGTCACTCCTCAAAAGAGAACTTATGAAATTGCAGAAATTATAAATATCTTATAATGAGTGTTAATAAAAGCGGCTGCCTGTTGATGCCCTGTGTGTATGGCCAAATATTAAAAGGGAACTATGTAACTTCTGCATACATTTTAATATAGAACTGGAATGTATTCAAAGATATTCGTAGAAACGCTTTGATAATAAAGAGGATTTTACCAATGTGAGAGTTACACTGTAAAGCTGGATTTAATTTAAAGCATCCATGTATCTACTACAGAATGTCTGAACACACATTTTTTATCAGCTACGAAGAGTAAAAATAAATAAACGTTTACAATCGTATATCAAAAGACCTTTTTTTTAACCAAATAAATAAATAAAAATTCTGGTGGGATTAAGCTTCAACATGCAACAAGACAAAATAGGAGTGAGAATAAAACAAATGGAGCAAGCTAACAAGCTAACTATCAAAAACAACAATGTATCTAAAAGCTGATTTTAAATACATTTCTTTATGATTTTTTTTATTATTACTCTCCCATTTCTTCTTGTTGCATATAAAAACTCTAGATGTAAAGTTATGATCCGATCATGCAAAAAATGATTTAAAGTGTTCATAAATCTTTAAAGAAACTGTATTACTGATAAATAAATACATACTACAGACACATAAATAAAGCAACACTTTTAAAACATCATAATTCAACTTCTGCTACAAAATGAAAGGCCTCCAAACACACATTTTTATTTTTTATCAATTGCATTCTAACCTGCGGGATGTAGTGACCATGATGCACCACACACAGAAGCTGCATTGTAAGGTCAAATAATGTTGCACCGATAATGATTTTTAAATATTATAAAGTGCATAAAAACAAATATCATGCATCAGAGAAACTTAAAAATGAGAAACATTCAATTATTATTTTATGGCTATTTTTCTGCCCTCTCTCTGCAGCCGTCACTCACCCATACGTTCAGAACAGTCCATTAATGTGAAGCCCCTCCTTGTGCGCTCACCTCTCTGCAGCAGCAGCAGCAGCAGCAGCAGCAGCAGCAGTGGTTCTAGCTGTAGTCTCAGAGTGGAGATGCCCTGATGGTCTGTGCCGCTCTCTGGACCTTCAGTACCTGCACTTCTCTGGCTCCTGCTCCCACCACGCCTCGGCTGACAATGAGCCGCCCGTCCACGGATAGCATTTGAAGTGGCTTAAGAAAGAGAACAGGAACAATCACTTTGTTCTCATTTTTCAGATGAGTACCTTCGGAGAGAAGGAAGGAAGGGAGGGGAGAGGAAGTCAACAAGCCGAGTGCCTTCCTGCAGAAAAATAAGGAAACACTAGATAGACATCTCACTTCTCGATGAAATAGACATTCAAAGTGCTTTTGGAGGACTAGGGCTGATGCTGCTCAAGAACACTGTGTCAAGTTTTATCGGATGAAAGCTTTCGTCCAACAAACTTTCCTCTGTTTGTCTATGTGTAAGTATATTGAACAATAAAAACAACAAAAATAATGTGTGACATTTTTAAATCTCTTTGTTTTCTGTAACTGACTCTGGCCTGTGAAGGACATAGGAATGAATTCCAAGAGTTGTGACACATTGGGTCCACAAGAATGAAATATTGACATAACATGAAGTGAACCTTATCGTCTTACTTTTGTCACCAAAAGAAACTAATGAAATAAATGTGTGCAAAAATATATTTTATTTTGTCCTTCACTCAGTAATTCTACTTGTAACATAAACTATTATGTTTTATTTATGAGGTAAGATGGTTAGTTATAATCTGTGTTGTTGCATTCTCACATTTCACATCTAAAATAGCACCTTGTATGGTTGTCGTCTCACGTACAGACAAACAGAGTAGAAAATGAAGCCCTCAACTCATGCGCAGCAGCATAAATAGATGTTATATATATATGTAAACTATGAGTACAGGCACCAGGAGGCAAGAGTAACTCATGAGAAAGTGTAATCTCACTTAAAGTACCACAACGTTGACATTTAGGTTAAACTTGATCAGCAAGAACTACATCATGGAGTTTAAACTCAGAACAAATGGAGAAAAAAAAGAAATGGAATTATGGCAGAAGCCATTGGGAGTGGCTGCATAGACTGTAGTGTAAGAGAAGAAGAAGAAGAAGAAGAAGAAGAAGAGGACAAAGAAGAAAGAAGATGAAGAAAGAGGAAGAAAGAATGTGTTTTAGGTTCTGCATGCGTTGTAAAGTGCTGTAAATGTTGTAAGGTGCTTTTAGTGTTATAAGTGCTTTAAATGTTGTAAGGTGCTGTAAGTTTTGTAAGGTGCTGTATGTGTTGTAATGTATTGCATCTGTGGTAATGAATTGTAGGTGTGGCATTGTGTTGTATGGGGAGTAATCTGTTGTACTGGTCCAATGTAAGTCAATGGGAAAAAGTGCTTGAACTTTTGTAAATACAGTGGAGCCTGTCGTAATGGTGTATTTGGTGAAAGTGTTGATGAGTTGAAAAGTGCCAAAATCTGGCGGAAGACGGAAGAAGAATAAACACTAGGATGGCATATTGTGGCTGCATAGTCTATGCAGCCACAATATGAAGCCCTCAACTTTTGCACAGCACAGCAGCATAAATATGATATTATACAGTATATTGATGTAAACTATGAAAACAGCCACCAGGAGGCAAGAGTAACTCATGAGAAAGTGTGATCTCACTTAAAGTCACTTAGGAAGGTTTCTCACCCATCATCTGTACTTCTTAGCTAAGAAGTACAGATGATGGATGAGAAACCTTCCTTTGCTTTGACTAATCCCTGTACAACTGAGGGCTTACACAAACTTAAAGTCACTTAGGTTAATCTTGATCAGCAAGAACTACATCATGGGAGTTTAAACTCAGAACAAATGGAGATGTATTATTTATTAGACTTTATGTGACATGGATTCTATCCATATCGTTGGTTGTGGACATCTGCATAACACTGCCTCAGGAGTTGCAATTCTGAAACTGGCTTTAATTGCGGCAGTGATAAGGATTGAGGATCAGAGGTAATTGAGCTCATTTGATTGAAATCGTGTTATTGTCGTCTTTTGGCTGTGATGTGTCATTAGCCATGTTAATTAGCTCATGAAGTCTATTAACCTCAGACCTGAACACTGTGTGCGAATCTGTGTTACAAATTAGTGCTTTAATGACAGGAAGTGAGTAAGTGCATGATTATTCTTACTGTAGACATATCTGAAGTTTGTGGCCAGGATCTTCAGCTAACAAACATATCCACTCTGTTTCTAATGTAAGTTTGTAGAATAAAAAACCTGCCCTCCCCAGGGAGGCATCCAGGAAGTATCTGAAACAGATGCCCGTGCCTCCTCAGTGGGCTCCTCATCACACGGATTCCTGTGGGACTGAGCTCAGCCTCAGGCCTGTCACTCTGGAGAAAACTCTTTTGGCTGATTGTATTCACATGTGTGTCCTTTCGGTCAATCAGCAATTGAATTTTGTGGCAGAACAATTTACGAATGGAACTTGTGTAGCTCTTAAGGTTTGTTCAAGTAGATAGATAATAATGCATATGCTCAGTGTCTGATGAGAGGATGTATACTGGTCACTGGTCAGCAGTGTTTCTTCTCCACGTATGGATGTGTTTCCTTTCTCTTCCATCATCCTAAAAAATGTACCATGAGTAAAATCCTCAGTTCACATCTGGACGTAGGTACCAGGGAGCTGCACTGTAGTATTCACTGCTCCTGTGTGGCCCCAAAGTACATATACTTACTGACAGGTCAAAGAAATCTGCCAAATATGTGTTTCACTATTTATTTATTTTACAATAAAGTTGTCTTTGAGGATTTTTCGAGCGAGGTGTTATGTCCCCACCATATTGGTGACTTAAGTTAGGGGGACACATGTTCACAGTATTCAACCATATGAGTTTATCACTGATGACTTCATTTGAACAAAAAGCCAACAATATTAAATATGAAATGTTCTTATGACACTTTATTCAAGGCCCATATCTCTTTGAGCTATTATTTTTTCAATAATATTTGTGTGTGCGTAAACAGATTTGTGTGTGCGTAACCAGATTTGTGTGTACGTAAAAAGATTTGTGTGTACGTAAAAGAAATATTTGTGCGTGTGTAAATAGATTTGTATGTACTATCAAGATTTGTGTGTGTGTAAAAAGATTTGTGTGTGCGTAATTTGACATTTGTATCTGTAACAGAACAATCTGTGTGTAAATAACCGCGTTGTACGAAGAGAAGAACGGAAAAAAGCCTAAGTGCTACGCACAGGCTCTGTTTTACACACAAATCTCTTTTTGACACACCTCTGCCGCCAAGCGTGTGTCAAAAAGATTCGGAAGTGTAATGTGGTTGTTCTAGCAGTACACCAGCAGATGGTGCTGTTGTAGCTGGTTATTACCTAGACGCAAGGAAACCAGCAGAGTTTCACACACACAAATCTGTTTACGCACACACACAGTCCAAGTTACACTTGCAAATCTGCGAAGGCAAGACTGCGTCAAAAGATTTGTGTGTAAAAAAAAAACTTGTGCGTAAAACATACTTTTTTTTACACACACACAAATCTTTCTACGCACACACAAATCTTTTTACGCACACACACATATTGATACGTACATACAAATCTATTTACACACGCACAAATCTTTTTTCGCACACACAAATCTGTTTGCGCACACACAAATATTATTGAAACAATAATAGCTCGATATTTGGCATAGACTGGTCTTGTCAGATCTCATTGTGGGACTGCTGAAACTCTATTGCAGAGTATATGCAGAAGTTAGAACTGTAACTGTGACCACTAACACTTTAAATAACTGGTAATCTTCATTTATTAAAGTCTTGGGTTTCTAATGCAGTGTCACGCTCCAGCAGACCCTTCACTAATGAACTTTATGCCTTGAAACGCTGGATCTGACCTCTGATCCCAATAGTCACTCAGCGGTCATCTCTCACTGCCCAGAAGATGCTGCGTCCTGCTCTCATTACGGACCTTTAAGTGGCTTTTGGCTTTCACTGTCACTCCCCAAGTATCTCCAAAAGTATAAAAGACAAGGCCCTGTGTCATGAACCCAAGAAGGTAGAAGAGCATTTGAAAGATCGAATTCCCTTGTTCGCCAGACATTCAGAAAGTACAGCAAGAATATCATATATACTAATGTTTTGTGTTTGAAATTTTTATATTGTTTATCTATTTTCCGACAGACATGAGTGGTGTTGCCGTGACAGCGTCCCTGTTCTTTTTGCTCTCCGTATGTTCGGCTTGCTACATCTCCAATTGCCCCATTGGTGGAAAGAGGTCTATCATGGATTCTCCTTTACGCAAGGTGAGTTTATTATTACATTTTATGGACATTTTTACATAGTTTACTTATGGAAATTTGGCCCCTTATGGACCAATACCAATGTGTTTTCTATTTCATTTCTTGTGTTTCAACCAAAGTCCTCTGAGATAACTACTGTGGTGATTCAGGGCAACACAAGAATAAAAATAATTGAATTGAATGTATTGCAGTGGGGGCGACAGTAGCTCAGTTGGTAGAGCATTAGCCTTTGAGCCTGAAGGTCGTGGGTTTGAGCCCTCCACAAGACCTACTTCACGACTACCACTGATGACTGCTGTCGTTGTGTCCTTGGGCAAGACACTTAACCCTACTTTGTCTGAAGCCCCCACTGAAAGATAAAGGCTGTGCCACAGAGTGGCCATCCTCCTGTGGACTCACCACCTGCAGGAGGTGGCTGGATGGATGAATGTATTGCTTGCTCATTTTAGCTTTATCTTACACACACTGTAAATGGATTCAAATATGTCCCATCACAGTGTATGTCGTGTGGTCCTGGAGAGAGGGGCCGGTGCTTTGGCCCCAGTATCTGCTGTGGGGAGGGCCTGGGCTGTCTGATGGGATCCCCAGAAACAGCTCACTGTGTGGAGGAGAACTACCTGCTGACCCCCTGCCAGTCCGGAGGGAGACCCTGTGGATCAGAGGGGGGCCGCTGTGCTGCGTCAGGACTCTGCTGCGACTCAGGTCAGTCTGTCTGCACAGTTTGAAGAGCTTTCAGACACGTTAGGCAAGTTTATTTGTACGGCACAGTTCATACACAAAGCAACTGTTGCAAATAAATATACTGTACATAAATGATACAATCCTTCAGTTCTATTTACAGATACTTAAATGAGATACTACTCATTCATTACTTATTACTTATATTCATTTATTTCTCAAACTTTTCACTCATACAATAAAACACACAGACAAAGGCACAAACAATCTCTTTCCTCCACATACTTAGTACTTTTTAACAAACAGAATCATATTTGAATGTGTTTATATAAAATTCATCTGACAAATTAGTATCTGCTATTTTTTTGGTAGTAGTTGTCAAAGTTTTTTTGCTTCATCTTAGGCTGTAACTCTTAGGCTGTAACTATGGTTAAGTATGAGAGTCAGAGAGTTTCCCGATCCTTTGAACAGTGGGTTTAAAGCATATGTAGTTGTCCTTGGATGCAATCCTATAATCCCTACTTTCTGGCACAAGCGTGTGTTGTGCACGTGTGTCCAAATGTTGTGTCCTTATATGGGCTTTTGATCATCAAGACTTAGTGTGTCTTTGTCTGTATAGTCGGTTATGAAAAGTAACCAGATTTCTCCATGAATACATTTCAATATCTCTATGTTACTATGTGTGTACTATTTACCTTCAGCAAGGACTTATCTAACCCTTGAAACCTGTTCTATAGGCCCTGATAACAGGCTGTTGACCCCAGTGGTAGACCGTGTGAGCACTGATTATGGCAAATGTCACCTACAGAGAGTTGCACCACAGACCAGAGCTGCCTGCCCGAGGAGGACGCAGAAGACCAGTACGAGCCCAGCGACTCCAGTGACATCATCCTCAGGCTTTTACACTTGGCCAATCACAACCTGGTGCATAGACTGCACCAATGAGCTGAACCTTACACAACAACAAGGGGTTGTATTTCTATTGGTTCAACATAGTTTCTTTTAGCTATAGAGTACATATGTAGAGTACCTTTATCTATTTTTATGTACAACATGAGGATGATGATTATCCTGATGCATGCTGAAATAAAATTTGGAGAGACTATTTCAAAGCGTGTTGCATAATTTCTATGCATGCTGTCATTGGTCAAATGTTTGAGTCTTAATCAATTGTTGTGAGGTTTTTAAATAGCATCTACCAGAACACGTGATTACACAGGGCCTCCGGGGTGCAGTCAGCTGTCATGATGCAAAGCCCGAAGCTGTGTTTTTCGAGGAAATCAAGAATCTTTGATTCTCACATGACAGGACTCTACATTCATTATGCATCTGTTACTGTCAGTGCAACAGTTCAATGACTTTGTGTAAATACAATATCCACTCTCAGTTATAGGATGTGTGCATCAAAGCTAATTTATCTGAAAGATTACATAATCTGTGAGGTGTGTTATGGTTTGTCTTTGAAAATATCCTTTATAAAGCACAACCGTTACCGCCAGATAAGAGATTCTGTCATTATGGCTGGGACTTGATAAAAAAAGATCTTATTAGGGCTTTGTAATTGACTCATCCAAATGAATCGCTTTTTAATCACATATAGATATTTGATCTGAGAACAGTGAGACGTTTTTTTATCACATGGATTTTTGGATACCATTGAATGATGACTGAATACTTTAGCAACAAAATATGTTTTTATTTTGTTCAACCAAATCCAACAGACCAGTACAATTTTTGTCATGTGTTTGCCAATAGCATATTTAGAAATATAGCTCATGTTGAGGGCCCTTATCTTCTACCAGTGGTCCACAGTCGAGTGCAGTCAGTGAGCCAGGCCTTTAGTTATTGTTTCAGACGTGGACTTAGATCCCTGGTCCTCCTTTTTGCTATCCTCGGGTCAAAATGACGCGCCACAGTAATCAATAAATACCCTAAATCCTTTCTTTCGAGCTGAATTTTGATGATTTTCCTTAACTTAATCAGCCCTGGGTCATTGAAACCCTTTTAGACCCTAATTTAAGGTCAACTTGCAACTGCCAACTTGCCCTCTGATCCCCCAGTCAAGCCTCTGCACCTTCTCCCAGACCAGGCCTCAACTGTATTAGTAAAAAAACACATCTCCTCTTAGTGGGACATCCAAACGTTAGCGTGGGAGGTATCCCGACATATTCTCCGGGACTAACTTCACTCACCATGCTTTGTGCAGATACTGCTGAGCCACATTTACACTTTATATCTTCAATTTATTTCTGGCAATAATTGAATTATTCAAATTTATTTAGTGGTGTTATTTTTGTAACAGGTGAAGTTTTGCTGAAGAGTTTAGAAAATTCAATTGTGTTGATGTTTTTGAAAAGTAACTTATCTAAGTTAGTCTAAGTAAGTTATCTGATGAAGAGGTCAAACTGCAGAAGTTTAAGAAAAGAGCGTAGAGTTCATACATACACAAATAAAGGCAAAAAACATGGACTGATTATTTATACATTCCTTTTTGAATTAACCAACTAGTGTTATATTATTATTATCTTTATTTCATGTTTTAATTAAATCGTATATTTTAGGAATACAAAAAGACACAGGATACAAGTATACAGTCTGTCCAAGCCGGTCTATAGATGTAAAGTGTTTCTGCCCAGTGCTTTCTCAGAGCAGGGCTGTAGCAACATGAGCTCATTTTACAATTAGTCTGTATAATGGTGTTTTCAGACACCTCCGGAAGCGCTTTGAAACGAAAGGTTTGATCAGTCATATAACTCATTTAGAAAATAAATCTGTGAAACTATTACTCACTATTTTGCATTTTTTTATGAATATGTTTTGTTGAACTTTTTACTCAAAAATATTACATTTTTAGACTTTTCCTCTGTAAGGTTTACCTATTGTGCAATTATAATCAATTCTCACCTATCTGCGCTATGGAACATCAACATATCATGTTTTGTTTTCATGTTTAACTGAGTAAAAGTAATTAAATGAGTAATAGCAGCTAAATGATATATTTCAATGACCTGCAACTCTGTCTATCCTTCCCTCACCAGGTCCTGCTCTCTCTCCTCACCAGTCATTTCTGAAATGACATTTAACGCTTGTTATTGCATGGATTCTCATCTCATACCATTTAATAAAGACTGATGAGCAGTAAGTTACTAGAGCCCTGTAATCAAAGACACGACACATGAATGATTCAGGAGCTGTATTGAGCCTTTAAAAGCACATGACCTGTCTGCACTGTGGCCTCTCAACATGCCTTATTCTGGGAAATATCGGCAGGAGTCTCAGGGGAACTTTGAGCCCTTTATGCGGGCGCTTGGTAAGATTTTTTAACTACTTGCATTTGTGCATCGGATTTAACTAATTATCTTACAAAGTTTCTTATATCCATTTTAGTAGCTAAATCAACTGCTGGATAAAAGACACAATAATTAACTGCAGACAATATGACAGGGGATTATCTCATTTTTGGAATCGCACACATTGTGAAAAAGATGTGGTTGTTTCAGGTGTTCCTGAAGATCACATTAAACTTGGCAGGGATCTAAAGACACTCACTGAGATCGAGGAGAATGGAGACCACTTTAAAATGACCATGACCACCGGAAGCGAGGTTAAGGCATTTTCATTCACCGTCGGTCAGGAGTGCGAAATGGAAAGCTTCACTGGGGAAAAATTCATGGTAATGGCAAAACAACACAATATGGACTTTTTTGGTGTTATAGTCTTTGTGATAAAACTGTGCCTTTTAGGGAGTGGTAAAGCGTGACGGGAACAAACTCACCTGCAACATGAATGGAATCGAATCAGTCACAGAGCTGGTGGATGCAAACACTCTGGTCAATGTGAGTGTTGCGTGTCTTTGTTTGGTAACATGAGACAGGCACTGGTATCAATGTCATGCTTTTGTCACACTTCTCTCCTGCAGACAATGACATTCAACGGCATCACATTCAAGACGACAAGTAAACGTGTATAAAACATGGACGATTAAATTCAACCCACATTTATGAGGGTTTGTGTGAAGCTCTAAATGTTTTTTTCTTATGGATGATCTGTGTGTTTAATTGCTTCTAATCCAAGCCCTGTTACGATAGATCCTTCTGTAGCTCTGGGTTTACCCCTGAGCTCCTCCATTATCCTTTGTCGGAGAATGAATAAAGCATTGTACTGTTTTTTGTTTCTGTGTCTGTAAAAAAACACATCCTAATTATACATGAAAAACGGGCTCTTTCAAAATAAAACACACCCATAATTTGTCTCTGTATTAAACCAATATCCGTATATATCCTTATAAGGCAAATACACACACCGTATACTCCAATTGTAATGGTAGCTTTAAGAATACATTTTGCGAAGTGGGGCCCTTTGTGATGAAACTGTGGTTAATTTAACAAGACTACTTCTTCAAGATGAAATACAAAGACTCTCGGATACAATAAGAAACATCTTGATTCTAAAAACACGTAAAAGTTTGGACACCCCAAATATGAAAATGTATGTTAAATGTTAAGCAGGGGAAATATTGGCTATATAGCACATTTTACAGCCCAAAGTCACCCAAAGCGCTTTACAATGTTCAGAGTTCAGATATTGTTTAATTCTCTCCACTCACGGTGATGACAGAGGCGAGATGCCGAACACACTGATACATCAAAGCCTCCAACCAACACCATCCATTCACTCACTTATTACATTCACAGCTATTGTACATGTTTTTAGTGGTAGGTGAAACCGGAGCACCTGGAGGGAACCCACGCAGACACGGGGAGAACATGCAAACTCCAAACAGAAAGGCCTGGAGGTGGAATCGTACCCCGGACCTTCTTGCTGTGAAACACAAGCTCTAACTGCTGCTCAATTGTCCAGAAAACCTGCTAAAATCATGATTGTGACATTTAGGGGCATTTGTTAACATTTATGGACAGTGGTCACCTGCTCTTTTGGACCGAATTCTCCTTTGTTAGTATTGCATTTCCTGTGTTTGAACAAACTTTGTAAAGTCCTCCGAGAAAACTGCTGGTGTGATTTAGGGCTATACAAAAATACATTGAATTGAATTGGTTCTCATAGACTATTTGATATTATTAGATACAGTATGTATCGTTTTTGCTACCCCCCGAACCAGAAATGGATTGATAAAGGGAAAGACAATGACATGACACGTGTAGTTTTTTTATTGAGCATATGTGATGGATGGAATAATCCAAATAAACATTTAGTATTTTCTTTGTGATTAATCTATTAGTGACGAGTGGCATCACCTAACTGTGCCTTGCACCCGCTCTGCTCAGAAGTCAGTGGCTACCCTCTTCCTTGCTCTTCCTTCTCATTTTATTGAAATTTGAATGACATTTGAATCCATAAGTGGCAATAAAAACATTCCCACATCGTGTTACATTTCACTTGATCAAACCCTCCTGAAAGGTACATTTCAAAGTACAAAGAAGGACAATGTCACTGCCAAATAAAAACTGTATAAAATAAAACAGGTAACACACAAAATATCTAAATTATTTTTTAATCAGCTGAAAAAAAAACCCATTAACTTAAGTGTTCGGTCATTTCATCCGAGAAAATAGAAAAAGTATGATGTCCTAGTAGTGCAATGAGGCACAGCAGTATTCAGGACAAGGATGAAAAACAAAGGAGGTATTTGTGCAAAAAATTGGATGCAGCCAAAGAATCAAGGATGTAATGTGAAGAAACAATTGGGACTCAGCCAGACTTGTAATTAAGAAAACCTTTATTGTGAATGAAGTGTGTTCATGTCAGACTCTGCTTTTATGGTCAAATAGAGCTCTGTGTATCTCTACTCTCAGTTTATCAGGAACTTATCAGAAAGATTACCTCATCTGAGTAAAGTGCTCCCGTGGGGTGGGTCATTGAGGAATACTTCATTCACACGGGAATTAGCGAGGATACAAAAACATACATGCATCAACATGTTTTAGAATGATGAATACTCATTTATTTGTTGCAGATAAACGAGGGCTGCACAACATATCTCACCAAACTTTTCAATTTGATGCACTGCACAATTTTCCTTTGATTCTAATCCTTTTTGACTGTTCCTAACCAAATGCTTTCAGAGACCGAGCATTTGAAAAAGTGAGTAATGATCTGCATTTTATTCTTGCAACATTTTATTCCAAAGTCGATTCAAGCACTATTCAATTCAATTCAATAATGTTTTTTATAGCCCTAAACCACAACAGTAGTTATCTCAGGGGACTATACAAAGCTGTCCATTCCCCAACACAGATCAAAGAATCAAACAGTTCAAGTACTATGTAAAAAGGGGTTGTTCATTAGTGTATAGAAAACAATATTAATTTATGAAATGAAGAGAAATCCACAAAGTTAAAGCTGAGTTGGGACAAAATCAGTCGCACAAGATCTACCCTCTACCCTGACCATGTTCAAAACTAGGTTAAAAACATATCTGATTCTATTTTGTACTATTTATTGCTTTTATCTCCTTTTTTAAACCCACATTTTAATAAAAGTTTTAAACCCCATACTTTTACACTACTGTTTTAACATGAAATGATTGTATATTTCATTGACTTTATGCATTATTAACTGTGTTTTTATAATTGCTCTCATGAATCACTTTGAATCACCTTGTACACGAATTGTGCTATACAAATAAATGATTGATTGATTGATTGATTGATTGATCAAACTGCATGGTGTAACTACTATATGTGTGTCACGCTCCGCTCCGGTTTGACCCTTGGATCACAGAGACGAGATCAAGGACACTGGTGTGAGCACAGACAGCACTATTGGGAGCAAACTAATCACAGACACCTGCAGTTAATGATTGAAGAAGCGTTTGGAGCCTTTAAAAGAGACCACACACCTCACTTCTGTCCACCTCCACGCTCTGTCAACATGTCTTTTGCCGGAAAATTCCAACTCGAGTCTCAGGAGAACTTTGAGCCCTTCATGCGGGCCATTGGTAAGCAGTGTGTGTTTATCTTGCTAGTTGGGTTGACTGATGTGATAGTTTTGTCCCATATTCTGCATTTTTTTTTTTTTTACTGAACTTAAAATGATTGTGTGTGTGATTCAGTGTCTTACATTTTTCAAGACTCATGAAATATTTGAATGTGAGTTTCATGTGTGGTTTGTCTGTTTTTAGGTCTCTCTGATGACCTTATCCAGAAAGGCAAAGACATCAAGAGCATTTCTGAAATTGAGGTTAACGGTGACCACTTTAAAGTAACCGTCACTACAGGAACTAAAGTCATGGTAAACTCTTTCACCCTCGGCCAGGAGGGAGACCTCGAAATGCTGACGGGGGAAAAAGTCAAGGTTTGCGAAATTATGATGCAGAAAGTTTAAATTTAGTTTTTGTAAAACTGAGAATTCCATGACTGTTTCTAGGCTGTGGTGAGGCAAGAAGGCAACAAACTGATCACATCTTTGAAGGGAATCGAGTCTGTCACAGAACTGGTGGATCCAAACACAATTGAGAGTGTGAGTACATTTGTTTAAACTTTAATTTTTTTTGTCATTCTCATACTAATGTCCCTCTTCTCTGCAGACCATGACTGTTGGTGGCCTCAAGTACAAGAGGATAAGCAAACGTATTTAAACCCTTTGTGCAATAAATATTATTGAAAAAGCAATTTGTTTTACTAATAGTTGGTTTATTGAAGTCTAATGACTTTAATTGATCTTTGAATACCGAGTCTATAATCACCCTTTATTGAAATACTGACCCTGACTGGTTATCTTGAGTGCAGGTCGGCTGGACCTTGCACTTTTGAGATCGCAGAATCAGGACAGGAGACAAATCTCTTCAGTATCAAGCTCCTTGACTGCATTTTATAAAGATTTTAAACAGTCTTTGCAATGTCCTGATACTCCAAATGCCTCTTGGTCTGGATACTGACTTTCTGTAGTTTTCCTGTAACTTAAATCATGAGAGGCTTTTTAAAGGGGTGGTCTAAAGTTTAAACTGAGTTTACTTCTACTTGAGTCTTAAACTTACACCTAGATTACATATGCAAAACACCTGTTGGGGCTGAGCTAAAACTACAAAATGTATTGCATGACAATTTTCTTTGCATAAATGTACTAAATTTTATTTATCCCTTAAGGATCACCCTCCCTATACAAGGATTTCTTTAGATATTTAAATTCTTTCAAAAGCGTCAATATTAGAATTAACACATCAAACGCAAGAAGTCTGCACAATAAGCATTTCCATTTGGGTATCATAATTCGAGATGGAACAGGCAAAATTAGGTGACCCTTAAACTTTAAATTGGCAATGCGAAAGGGAGCCTGATTCTGATTGGATATATACTTGAAACCCTGAACATACCAAGGACATCATGCCCAATGCATTTAAGTATTTGGCCATGCTGACCTGTAATCTGGGAATAATGTGTAGTAAAATTAATTGTACGTTGCCTAAACTGGGCTGTTGAACTAATTTTTGAATTTTTTTGTAAAAGTTACCACTTCAGCCTGAGTCTTTGCTGGTCAGTGAGAAAGGTGGGCGCAGATTTTCAGTCTCTGAACGGAACCACTGATGCTGAATGTGGCATTCCCAACAAACTGTTCATGCTGTTTTCATTAAAGGTTGCACTTGGTCAGGTGACAGTTTTATTAAAAGTCATATTACAAAAGGTGAACAGTTTGACAGGCGTAGACCATCAGACAATAAACAAACAAATGAAGCCGGCTCATTTTCTCCGGTGGAAGAGGTTCTTGATGTTGTCCTCCACAGACTTGGGCTCGTTCAACATGGTCATGGGTCTGTTCTTCAGAGCCGCTTCCCTCATGGAGTGGTACACAAACTCATTCTCCTTAAACATCCTCAGCTCCATCTCCGTCTGCATCCTCATTTCCTGAGGACCAACAAAAGCATTTGGGTGTGATTTCAAAGACGATATCAAAATGATCAGATAGTTTTTGATGATTGAATAATCATGTTTCTGATCAAAGTCATAAAGTGAGTTTAGTTTTCAACTTTCCCTACAGGGATTAAAGTATTCCTTAAGTTTAACTGAAAGTCCATGTTATGTTATTTTAATCAAACAGAGAAAATATATCCTCGAATTATAATTAGCTTTTTAAAAACATTTTACAAATACATTTCATTTTAGCCAGTGAAATGCAATGAAACATTTAAAACACATTGAAAAAATTGTTATTTTGGGCTAATTGAGTCATTTGAATTCAGTCATTTAAAGTAATTTAAAACCTGTTCCTAATGTCTTAATCCAACCAGGCTATTGGAATGAACATAATTAAGTCATTTGGAGACGATACATAAGAGGTTTTTCTCATGTACATTCCTGATATTGATATGGATCAAGCTAAAACCAACTCCATATATATGTCTATATTTGTAAAAAGGGAAAAAGAAGACACATCATACTTTGTATTCAAATAAATATATATTTATTATATACTATTAATTCAGTATTTTGATATCATTTGGTCTTACCTCTAAGTCCTTGGTGATTGGATGCAAGGGTCCGTGTGTGACCATAAGAATTGCGTAGGCCTTGCAGACCATTCCATGCCCAATTTCTATTTCTCCAGCCTGCCAGTGGTTCACTCCAGCACGCATGGCAGCCATGCCCAGACCAGCGTGGTTCTGGGGGTAAATTTTTCTAGACAAAACATCAAACAGAAACAGAAATTAATATGATGGCGTCTTTTTTAGATGTTGTCTTTAGAACATGTTGCAATTGGACATTTTTGCATTGTATATATTAAATGCATTATGCAAACTCCACTCGGGCCTTGTCTTAACCGAGGACCTTCTTGCTGTGAGTGTAACTGCATCACAGCTATGACAGGCCCAAACTTTCGCCTCAACGCGCCACAGATTGCTTTAAACCAAAATAATGATCCGCCATCTAGGACTCATCTTCCAGATTTGATCATGCAAACGAAGGCTTTTGAGTGCCATTTGTTGTATATTCAGTCATTCAGCCAACTTCAGCTCCACCAATACCCGCATGCTGTACCTCGTTGTAAAGCTTGATTTGTATCTACTGACATTTGTTATTCATTGTGTAAAAAAACTCCATACATGGAGCTTATGGAGCTGAAGTATGAATCAATATGGACAAGTTTTACAATCCATGATGTCTGCCCCTGAACAAACTAAAGCGGCCCTCTTACTGAAACATTTGGACATCCTTGTTTCTTGTACGACCATGTTGAGCCAATAATGAAGTCATTAAATAAATTAGAAATGCATCAGGAACAACAGTGAAAATGAGGACCTTTACAATGTTGTGGCGGAACACATGAATACTTGCCAGCAGAGACCCAAATAAGATACATATTTTATGTAGATATCCCAGGTGCTTTACATGTTTGTCATTATTTAGTTGTTAAGTATGTAGCCCGTTTAAAAATGAATCCAGTTTTGTAATTTTATAATTTCAGTCAAATTTAGAAATTAATGTATGCAAGTTAAAAAAAAAGTCAATTCACTGCTAAATCATGTAACTCATTTGCACTAGTAGCAGTCGTAGTATTATTAGATTCAAATATTTATGAATGGGGCAGATTACAAATGTAGGTCGACCACGCCCACCTCGGTGTAGTGAGTGTAGACAGGTGCGGCCTCTGATGAGTGTTTCTGAACCGATAATACAAGTTGCAAACGGACTATTTCTTGGTTTGGTTAAAGTTCAAGTTTAAGTTTACGCTTATTTAAGGAAAGCCCCATGAGATGAATTAAGAAGATAAATAAAAAATAAAAGAAAGAAGACAAAGAAAGAGTAAAACTATTAAAGTAGCCTTATGTAATATTTGCATGTCAAGTCATCATTAAATGGCCCCAATATTTCAAAAGGCGTTATTAAATCATGCTCTTTTCGTATACATCTTTAACTGATAACAGTAGTTCAGCCGAGATATTTAAAGTGATTGTCTGGAGTTTGTCAGAAAGAGAGACAGAGACGTACTTGATTTGAAAAAAACGACGCAAGCTCCTCCCCCTTCCTTTCTGATTGGTCTACACCTACGTTTCCGTAACACTTTGAAATGTTAATCAGAGAACATATTATACATATACATTATTAATACACACGCACGGAGGTTTTCAGAATTATTTGTGAACGTTTTAATGAAAAAAAATATGTTTTTATGCACACAAAAAAGCGATCGCGGCAAACCAGGAAGTGCTATTATCATGAATTGCACATTATAGGACACATCTGCAGAGGATCTGATTATGGATATAGGTTCAGTATATACATAAGTACCTCAGCGCGGATGTTCAGAATTCTTTGTTCAGTTTTCATGTAGTTCCAGAGCCTAATAGAGGCTCAGCGAAAACAAACAACTGAGCATGCGCGCAGCTGCGAGCATCAGCGCCGATGATTGACAGCCCTTGGCATGACTCGATTGGTTAACCTCGACGGCACCGTGGATTCTGAACTATAGCTAAAGCCTGGTTCACACGAGACAATTTTAAAATTGTCGGCCGATTTTTCTCCGTGTTAGACCCCACACGGGGAGATTAAAAATCCTGCGTCTAACCACTTTGGTCGTGCAGTGTGTGGTGCGTAGCCACACGGCAAGATCACGCAAGCCACAAACATCACACACGAACCGACACCCCCCCCCGAGCATTCCCAGGTCAGACGGAAATCTCACAAAATCTCTCAAGATCAAGCGTGACTTCAGAGTAAACAGTCATGGCGGACGAAGAGGATGCAGTGGCGATAGTGTGCAGTTTGTTGTTAACAGAGAAGAGACGTAATCCAAAGAAAAGGCAATGGTCAAAGCCATGCTGCTGTGTTTTGGTTTTTTTTCCGGTGTTTCCTCACCGGCTTGTCACCTCGTCTTCTTATTGGCTACACGCCGTAGTCATGGCAACGCGCTCGCTTGTCCTCGGAGGACACCACACACGACAAGAAATCGGGCCAAAACAATCCAACATGTTGGATATCCCCGATTTGAGATCGAGAGCAGTCCCGATGTCCTTCCGAGCGACGAGTGCAGTCTTAACACACCACACACGGCAGGATAATCTGTAAGATTTTGTTACGGAAATCGGAGCGTTTCTTAAGATTGTCGTAAGGGGTAAATCGGGTCTAAATCGGCCTAAATATCCTGCCGTGTGAACCAGGCTTAAGAGCAGGGAAGGCGGGACTTGCCCGTAATATTAGAATTAATAAAATGACTTATTTTATATCAACATTTAAGCCCAGGAGGTCAATTTAACACATTTCCTAAAATTTGTAATTCATTTAGAGTTACAGACTATCACTTTAAATATCAAAATTGTTAAAGTTGTTATTGTTTTCATTTTGATGTCCCGCCCTCCGCCGTTTCGCCAATCAGGAAGTGCGTACTCCGGGTTGCCAGAACTCCGCACGGCTAGCTAATCTCACTGGTAAAATAACATGTGGCAGCAGAACTAAAAGAGGTGTTGTTATTACTCTCAAATCATTACAAGCCGTTATTTGCAGATTAAAGCTTAATTGTAATAAGAATCATTTGAGACCACATGTACGCAATTAAAATAATGTTTCTTTTTTATGTGGGACTTGTACATGTATGTCTAAAAAATAGGGAATAAAAAAAATCAAAGGGTGATATCCTCTGGAGGAAACCCTGATGTTGATACGCTGAAGAAATACGTTCCAACATCCATTCTTCCCACTCCTATTTTGGACATCAATTACTTATTTATTTTGGATAATCAATATATAATTGCATTGCTTTTATTTTCTTTTTCTCATCTCAAATGTCCAAATAAAAAAAATTAAAAAAACATTCATTCAAAACACTCATTAAACATTAGCATGGCTATCATGGCAATGTGAATGGAGACAAACAAACAACTGATAAAATAATTCCCTGTGTTTGCTGCTGGATTTGGTGTGTATCTGGCAACCTGAGTCAGGGAGAGTGGGAGAGGACTACAAAATATTGACTGTGACTGCAGTACCACTTTTGGCCAGATTTTTACATAATGCTCCTTTAACAATAATGACAAACTTACAGAACACAGAACATTACTGACATAAACAAGGAGTTCTAAATAATTCAAATTGAACTTAAATAAACCAAAATACAGATCCTGGTCATTTAAAGAGTGCAACAAGTAGATTAAAGCCAACTTTCTTGAATAGTTGAGCAAAACAAAGCAGCCTCCTACATGTCTACTCACAGGTATCCTTCCACCATTTTGCGAGAGTATTCGGCTGCGTCATCGTTGTACTGGAGGTAAGCCTGGACCTCGCTCATCATGCTCCACAAGCGGATCAGGTAGATGTGAGTGTCGGCCAGCACCGGTTCTGCTTTCTTGATGGCTTCCCTGCAAATTTTTACCACCTGAAAAAAATTATAATGCAAGTTTGTCAAGTGAAAGAGTATTGTGAGATTATTATTCTTGCTATTTGGGGAGACATATTAATTTGTAAGCCTACTTCATGATAGTCGCCCTTTAACCGAGCGGCGTCCATCTTGCCCAACATCTCAAAGCAGAAATCTGAGGCTTCTTTCACCTGTTCTTCTGTTGGCTGAGAATGGAAGCAAAATCAAGCAATGTACAGTGAGTATATATATTGGATGAAACTTTGGCAAAACAAAATTATTTCATTTATAATCCTTGTACTGTTATAGAATTATTATACAGAGAAATGTATGATTGGTAGTAAGTAAAAAACTACTAGATTAAAATTTGCACACATATCTAAAGTCAAATTGAAATCAACCTGGGCTGAGATCATGACAAAACCAGGACTAGAACTAAACAGCAACAAGTGTGAACACGGTAATGTCAGCTGGGCCGTGTTTGGCTCTTTTTTTGCTCTTTTTCGCTATTTTTTGCCATTGAAAATTATGCATACGAGAACTGAAGTCATAAGAACTCTTTTTTCTTTGCATCTGACATTTTTTTGAATAATTTCAGATGATACCTGACTGTTTTTGATAAAATTGAGCCTTGTGGTGCTTTCACGAGATTAGCATTTGCACTTAAAATTTAGAATAGTAATTGAAAATAAAATAAGTACCTGGCCATAACTTTTGGCAATATAGTTACACAACATAATGATTACTTTGAGCATTAAACTACATTTTGTGTACAGCTCCATGAACTCCAGCCTGTTCATACAGCTGCTTCTGCAAATCCAATCGTATACATTTACTTACATACTAATGACACTTTAGCATCAGCCTACACCTCTTGGATCTTTCTGCTGTGAAGTACAGCTCTGTGACAATGTAAATAAATCTGCAAGTGACCGATATAAAACTTTCATTCAACATTCATTCATTCATTCACATTTTGGCACGGGATCAACTGCAGCATGTGTTTTTCTTGATCAAATGAAATTGGACAAGCTGAGTTATCCGCTTTGTAAACATACTTATTGATTTTAGGTGAATTGTTTTTAACTGTTTTAATAACTTATCTCCTGATTGGAAGTTGTTGAAAGCAGGTTTCGACAGAACACCAGAGGTGACGGGGCCTTCGCTGTTGCTGCTGTTTACCTCTGCACATCAGAGCAACTTAAAACTACTCTTCAGACTCTTTTTTGACTTTGCTTTTGTTTGTCTTTGTTCTACTATCTTGTGCATGTGAAGCCCTTTTGGCAGCTGGTGTTGTTGTAAATGTGCTGTACAGATACAATGGATTGGTATTTGAATACAATAAATAAATCTGATTTGGCACACAACAAAAGCGGTTAACCCTTTAATGTTCACTCCTTGAAGAAAGCCATGTCATGTTTTCTTTTTTTGAATAGTAGGAGAACTAATAACACATATTTGTTTTATGTTTTTTTTAGGGCTGTCAAAATTATTGCGTTAACGCACGTCAATAAATTTTTGTCATTAATCGCGTTGAAAATATGCATTTGACGCATGCCCATGCGTCCCATGATAACACTCAGAATGCCGCGGACACATGCGTGTGTAAGATGGGGACAGAGCAGGTAGACCCTCTGGGAATTCAAGTTTTGAAAGAATACACGCGTGAACTCTGCATGATGAGCTGCGGGCGCCACAGCGCTCTGGACACAGGTCCCACTTCCAGCGGCTGTGATCACGGCGAACGGCGCTGCGTAATGGGATCATATCCAAGACCACGCACAGAATTATTCTCTAGTGTGCGTACATGTCTTTGCGTAACCGATGCACACAATATGTACAGCGCTGAAGCTGGACTGCGGAGCCTCAGTCTCCTCCGTGTCTTCCCCCGAAGCGCACTCGCTAAATTAAAGCTGAGGTTCCTAATTTTCCTTTTGACCACCAGTTCATGTTAGTTGTGCCAAAAAAAGTAATGGTGTGAGCAAATCAAACAGATTTAATGACATTCTGCATTTCAGACTATTTTGAAATGTCCCTTATCTGTAACAAACAATGGTTTTGTTCTGAGTCTAAACAGAAAGACAGAATGTTAATAATGTTAATTCCATTTTATATGGATTTATTGTTATAACAAACAAACACAGTACATATGTTCACTAAGCTGTCATTTATCTTTCCATTCAAACAACAATTTACAGAAAAATATGGCATAATTTTGCCAATAGTTTGAAATGTGATTAATTACAATGAATTAATTTTTAAGCTGTAATTAACTCGATTAAAAAAATTAATCGTTTGACAGCCCTAGTTTTTTTACCTTTAGTTTTTTATTATTCTAGACCTTTACCAAGTGTAAAACAAAGTGATAGAGGTAGATTTAAATTCAAGTAGATATAGTGACTCAAAAAATGATCTACCAAATAGTTGAGGAAACTGTTAAAGGGTTAAAGTATAATTATGCAAACCTTGACTCCGTCCACCTCCCGACCTCCCATCTTTATGTCGTCTTTGGTGCGGTTTTTGCAGTGGTCACAGGTGCAGTCAAAGTAGTACTGTAGTTTCAGCATCCTCTGCCTCTCCTTGGATAAGTTCAGGTAGTCCACATAGGCCACGGTCAGCTCCTCTCCCTCTGTGATCTTGCCCAATGCACGCAGCTCGATCCTAAAGCACATTCAAGACATTTACATATCTCACTATCACAATGTCATAGACTGTCAGGGCTGGATTACTGTCTCTACTTATGATTTATCAAGTGAAACACACGTCCATAAAGTGCCCTTAGTTTCAGCCAATGCAGCGAACAGTTAAGCCAACAGTAGTAATTAATACCAGAAAAGTAATATTTTGTTGTCTACAGTTTAAACTATTTGTGTATACCATGTGAGTATGGAGTTGTATTGCATTATACCAATTGTAATCCAACTGATACTTTATTACGTAATAAAACCTAATTTTGTAATGAAGTGCCCATTACCCAATAATATATTGAGAAAATTGTTAAATGACAGATGAAAGATTTTAAGTAAAAAAATTTTTTTTGCTTAAAAGCATAAGGAAGGACTGCTATGGGGACCTGTTTTCAGAGGAAATACCAAGTAGATAAACATTCATTTTGTGAAGGCCAGAGCAGAGGTGAGAGATCCAGAGAGATGGATCTTGCAATTACCATGTACTAACTACAGCTGTACCATGCTATTTTAATATTATGTATATGCTCTTGTTTAAAGTCATTTTCACATTTAGAAACCAGGATAAAGACAAATCTTCACTGGGTTACTTTGATTTTATAACCTTTACGATTAGGATTATAATATTACACAGACTATTAATACGCTATACTGTATATAATATACACGCTTGCATAATTTTTTCAAATTGGAGTAAATCATGACTTATTAGACTTATTACATATATGGATATATATTAGAATATACGACCCACAGGGATCTGTATATCCCTGGCTCATTGACGTAAATATGAAATATATCATGTATTATTACTGTGCAGGCAAGTTTATAGATGTGGAAATATTTCAAGCCAAAACCCCAAATGTCAGCAAGATAGCATCTTGTTCCATCAGGTTTGGTTTAATTAAATGGAACCATGTGACATTAGTTACAAAGATGAATAGAGGAGTTGCACTTAGAGGTTATTATGACATCGGAAGGAGAGGACATGAAGAAAACTGATAGTACTGTTCCAAACATGTTAGAGATTGTTATTCCATCCAAAAGAAGGTGACTATATTACTCAGTTACTACAGGTCACTATGTGGAGTGAGTGGATTGTTGATGGTTGCTGTACGGCAGAATAAACACAGTTCTGTTGAGGTAACGCACCTCTGTTGAGAATGAAATAAAGTATTCACAGCCGATTGACTGAAAGATAAACAGGAAGCAGTTTACACCAATCACAGACACAGACAAGAACACACACATAACACATGTATGTACTGGATGTAACAGGCTGTGTTCACGCTTGAACATTTTATAATTCAAAATGGGAGATTTTAAAAAGCTAAATACAAATTTAATATCAACATATATATTATAATTCCATTCTCTTGGTTTTTTTTTTTTAAAGAAGAAATTTGATGTATTATTTTTGGCCATGAAAATGATATTGATACTCTTTACTTTGTCATTTTATTTTTTAGAGTATTATCTTCAGTAGAAAATATTTGGTGAAACAATTATGAAGGGTTAAAAGTGTTCTCTGCCTGACTCCCTATACCACCACCAGAGGGAGGAGTTGAATTTTTGCTGTTTTTGTTTTGTTTTTTTACAAATAGGAAATTTACCGGCTGCAAATATTGCCATGTAATTGTAAAGAACATCAGTAAAGAAACGAATCCCAAAACAAATATATTGGAAATATGTTTGTTTTAGAAGGTGGAAAACTCTGGGATGATGTCATTGTGTTAAAATGACATCATACTATTACATGCTTGTGCCAGAAATTCCTGATATGAGCATGGATAGATATAAAAACAACTTCAGGTCTGTTTCTTATGAGGGAACAATGTTGTGACATGGTTAAAAGATTTATTTCAAGTTTATTTGCCAAATGTCTACTTAAACGATTACATAATGGCACCACTTTATGAATGTATTTCTTTATGACAGAGAAGACATTGAACTTTGTGTCAGTTTTGGGTCAAGTAGATAGAACTAGTAATTGCAGAGACCATAAACCAGGACCATAGATATGCATTCTGATAGTAGTGATGTCACATGAACACGGAGAGACTCACTTTCCGTGGTTGAGGATCACGGTGCAGTTGGGCCAGCAGTCGTGGTTCACCAGGCAGAGGCTTGGGAACAGGCCGACGCCCACAGCCTGAAGGCCTCTCTGGTCACTCACTGTGAAACCGTTACAGTTGATCTGAAATCACATGGAAAATATATTTAGAGCTCATAAATGAAAAAAACCATCACATTGACAGTTGTATTGCACTCCAAAAGTAAATGGATGGTTGAATGGAGTTGTTTTTATTTGAGTTCATTGTGAGTGGCATGTGTGTGTCACTTAATCTTATTTTTTGAACTGTTGCTTTCTTTTGTACATTCCAAGGGAGACGTCTCTGCTATCTTTTTAAAACAAGATCATTTTGCTTTGTCCCATTGGCAAATCTTGTTTTAAGGCAGTCAGAATGTGCTCAAATTAAAATATATGTTGCCCAATTTGAGGATTTTTGCCTTGTTTTTCCTCACTTTTTTGCAGTGCACATTACAAGTCCAAATACAGTTCAAGTTTAAGATGTTATAACCACAAACAGTCAAGTCAAAGTCAAATTGAAGAATGATTATTGATTAGAAAGTGCCTTTATCTTTTGGGACCTGCAAGTAGCAAATGAGTTTGTATTAACGAACAAAGGGGGACTGTAAAAGTGCAGACTATTTATGAGTGCATTATTTACCAAAAATTTATAAATAAAAAGTCTAGCTTAATTTGAATCTTTTCCAGTTGAGTTGGCTTAGGTGAAATGACATATCTTTCATTATTTGTGGGGCATTGATGGGGCCCTGTGCAGCTGCTTATTCTCCTTATTGGTTCGGAGCTTCGTCATAAGATGGAAGTTTTAGAAAAACAATATAAATTGCCACTAAAGTATTAAAAAATACTCAGTCTATTTCAAGAAAAATCTATATTCTCTAAACATTTTTGCAAAAGTAAACACTATAGATAATACATGAAAAAGTTTGGAGCCAAAAGTGGGTCCGGATCCAGTCTGTGCCGAGATCTCTCCAGCCCTTTATGTCACTACTTGTGAATGAGTATAATTTAGGGGTTTAGGATTGTACAAAGGTATAAACTGTCACTGTCATGTGTAGCTGTTGGGGCCCATGCAAATTAGCTTCATGGTTGTTCCTCTTTACAAAATACCAACAAACTTTACAAATAGAATGTGTATGACTTGTGTTACCATGAAGTTTTGTAAACAAATAATTGAATAATCAAAGAGCTATAAAACACACACCACTCCAAATAAATGTGAGACGTCATCTATTGTGTGCTGCTTGCTCTTGCGCGGCCAGTAGTCCAGGAAGTTATGGATGTCCACTTTTAGATCTTTGAGCTCGTCCTCCGGCATGTCGGCAAGATGGTCCTCCAGCTCGTCCAGAGTGGTCAGCTGCATGTCGGACACTTTACTGCCCTCTTTGTCCAAGCGCCACATGATCCGAGCCACCAGACTGAAACACAAGAGGCCGTCGTGTGATTTCAAAGAACATTCCCAGGATTTGCTGATTTGATGCGGGTTTCAGATTTCATCACAAGCTTTCGTAAGGATATTGTGGGGGAAAGCGAAAACTTGCTTCTGATATTTTTGTGTGAAGTAAAACATGTTATGCTTGTTCCCTTGACACATCAAGCTCAAGTTCCTAACTTTCAAACCACAAAAATGTAACTATTTAATACTATTCATGTAACTAGTAGTAATTCAATTTGTTTCTATCAATAGTTTTCCTATGCATGTATTTTTAGCCTCATCTAGATCCGCTTTTTCACCCAGAAAAGTTAAAAAGAGAGGACCACCCTCATTTCAGTCAATCAGCTCAAAGGGTCAAATAGAAGGATAGATAGATAGATACTTGATAAAATAAATAGTGACTCACAAAGCTTTCTTTAAAGTATGCAAAAAATAACAAATTTCTGAATGAGAGTAATTAATACAGCATGTTGTGGTCTGCTTGGTTCACAACACTTCGCTACTTTTAAGCGTTTAAGCATTAAAAAAAATTAAGCAAAATGCAGTATTCATCAAACAGGTACCCCTGTGAAAGTGAAAACTCTCAACTCAAGAGTAAAAAAAAATTTAAAAAAATTATTAAATCACCTTTGCCTGGGAAAAAGTATGCTTTTTCTTTTTGTTGCGTCAGTTTCTATGTTAAGTATTTAAGGAATCTTTATTTTGTTATAGGGTCTTTCACAGACCAGGTCACAAAGTGCTTTACAATTGTGGACATTTGTCTCTCACCTTTTGTACATGTTTTTAGAGTTAAGTCTAAGTTCAAATGTTTTCTGCATTTTCAAATAAACTCCTTTGGAACAATCACGTCAATTACGGGAATTAATTTGTAATTAAGATTTTTAGGAACAGGCAGCAGTCCCCTACATCCATCTGAAAGAGAGGTCTCAAGTTTTAGTTGGTTGTGACCATAGACTGTACGTAACATGTTGAAACCCTATTAGTCCTTGGGATATTTTATGCTTGGTTTTTCACTTTATATTTCAGTTAAATTCAATGTATTCTTTATATCCTTAAATCACAAAGAAGTTATCTTGGGGGACTTCAAAAAAACGTTGCATTCGCCAACACAGACCAGAAAATCAAATAGTTCAAACACAAGATAGTCAATGATAAAAACACATGGAGCCATTGTTGCATAACGGGCAGATGACCATTGTCTGTAAACGTTGATAAATGTCCATAAATGTTGTTGAATGTCGAGTGTCCTGGATCATACTTTTTTCATATACTGTCTGTTCAAATTATCAGTTCACAAGAAACTTTCAAATCATTAACAACTTCATACACAACTTATGTGACTTGTAATATACATATACAGAATAATAAACAAGATATTTCCCTCCTCTTTTGGTCCATCACCGCTGCATTTCTTACCGGACGCTCTCGTTGGGTGTTTTTCCATAGGCCTTGATAGCGCCACATTCTTGCTTGTGCTCTGCCCAGCCGGCTCTCTGGCAGGTTCTGTCGCAGTAATGAGCAAATTTGCACTGACCGCATCTCTGGAGCTTGTCTTGTCTACGGAAACAGCTGTGGCAAATGCGCTCTGCATGGCTAATGGGAAAAAAAATACAGTTTTTATTTTCTTCAAAAGTGTAAAATAGCATAATAGGTTGGTAACTGGTAAAAATCTGTTTTTCCGACATATTATTGTATTGCTGTATATTATTGCCATGAAAATACAATATGTATATTGGTATTTTACAGCTTTCATGCTGGATAAAGAAATAATACTTTCAAAATTAAATTATGTTTATTATAATTGTATATACTGTACAGGCAATTTCAGTAAATAATTTTTAGCTATGACCTTTAGGCTTTGAGACACGTTTGTTAACTGCATCTGAAGGAGAAAAATAATAATACCCTATTATCTGAAAAAATGTTAGTTAAACATGAACTATTCCTTACTCCTGACATCAACATTAAATCAATGTTTACCAATCATGACTTACCACAACATTACACAAAGTTTCATGTCACTATCAATCAACTCATTCATAACATTAAAAATATAAATATTTACCCGTCAAAACAAACAGATGAGATGCTTTGCTCGGTGAAGATCACATCTCCAGCCCAGAATTCCTTGGTGGCCCTCAGTCCTCTGCCCTTTCCTGGTGAATCAAATATCTCCACTCCTTCCATGATGCTACTACTCTACAGATCCCAATGAATGAAAAGTTTTAATGGAAGGCTTTTTGCCCTTTGAGTTCCTTGGGAATGACAACTGCTCTCGCTCTACACCCCCACGGTCCTGAAATAGCCCTGCCATCTCTTGGTAGTACCATTACACACCAGGTGGGACAGGGTAAACTTCACATTACAAGAGTTTTCTCACATCTCAATCACTTTAGCACAGGAATTTATATGTATTTCTTGTCTTGTGATTCAAATCTAAAATGGATGATTACTTTGAAGTTTTTAAAAAGTATCATAAATTTACCACACCCCTTAGATGAGGGTGGTATGTGCCAGTGGCCATTTGGTTATTTCTGTCTCTCAGTTGGGCCTGTCGGTCAAGAGGCTGGTGACGTTGGACAGCTGCGAGGAGATTGGCTTTATCAGCCCCTGCTCCACTCTTCTGGTACCTTCTCCAGCGCACTCACGGCTTCCAATTGCAAAACAGCATTTAGAAAATAGAAAGTTGTAAGGTCACTGTGGTGTCATTTTAAAAAGAGAAAGAGCTGTGTTAGGTTTCTATCGTAAAACATTTCAGATGCAAAAATAGGCTTTGTTACGGCTATTAGTCAATAATAGGTTGTGTTCATGTTGTAGAGTTCGGTCTCAGTTGGAGAAAAGGTGTGTGAACTATGAGAAATAAGCCTCTTTTTAAAGAAATGTAAGTAAAGTAAGAAAGTAAACGTCCAAATATTTGCCAGGTCATTATTTGATAGTAAGATAAGATTCACAAGGCTGCTATATCTGTTTTGAATATTGTCCAAACTTCAAGACACCTTTCAGAGAGAATTATTACCATACTATTATATACACCATAGTTCATATTATCTGACAAAGAAGTAAAGTAAGAAGAAATTTGCTGAGAAGTGGAAATGGAACACAAGAAATTGGACTTTCCAACGATCAGGACGGCTGTTTCAACTGCCCTCCTCCACAATTTTAAACTGGCTCTTTGGACTGGTGTGATGTCACATGAACATAACCTCTAATAAATGTGTTTGAAAGTGTTGACACTAGAACCTACAACATTAAGATGATAAAACAGTCCACTACTAAACAGTGTTGTCCTGATGACGTTTTTTCATCAGTTCATTCAATCAGGTTTGTTGCACATCATCAGAGATGGAAGAAACATGGATGTGGCCGTTTGCTGCAGTGTTTCAATCTGTCAGGTTTTGGCAACAGAGTGTTTTTAGAGGGTGTGGAGAAACAGGAAAAGGAAATGTGAATATAATACAGGCACTTATTTCACTTTAGTTAAAAAGATGAAGATTTGGAGAATTTGTATTATTTATTTGGGTGGGTGAGTGGATAGCACTCTCGCTTCTTAGCAAGAAGGTCCTGGGTTCGAATCCCGGTCGGAACAGGGCCTTTCTGAGTGGAGTTTGCATGTTCTCCCCAGTTTCCTCCGGGTGCTCCGGTTTCCCCTACCACTAAAAACATGCACAATAGGTATGAATGTAAATGAGTGAGTGAATTAATGGTTTTGATTGGGGGCTGATGCGCTCGCTTCCGTCATCACCGTGTGTGGAACAATTGGAACAATATCTGAACTCTGAACATTGTAAAGTGCTTTGGGTGACCTTGGACTGTAAAATGCGCTATATAAATAAACATTACTTACTTACTTACTTACTATGTATTATTGTAGTTATTTGAATTCTTTCTGAAGGAAATCATTTGTTAGAATCATGGGTTAGAATTTGTCATTAATTTAATTTCTGTGCAGAGGTGAAGTTCCACACTATTTCAAAGTGATAATTTGTTCCTTTTCCCATTACTGAACTTGAAAATGTTCTTATTTGTTAATAACATTAAGTTATCCTGAATTCTAACAGACAGACAGACAAACAAACAAACAAACAAAGCCTAGTGATTACATTACCCCCTAGGGAGATTATCATAGTTACAAACATGAGGATATAAAGGATGCACTGTTGCCAAAATCCACAAGATGGCGGCAAATCCGTCTTTCTGAACCATTCCACAACCCACTGAAAAGGAGATTCTGAAATGTCAAAAGGATCACCCAGTTATATTCTATTTACTGTCAAACACATTTATAAACTATAAAAGTTTCTAATGTGAAAGAGTTGGTAGCAAAAGTAATACATTTCAAAAAGTACTAAAACACTTTTAATATCCATTACAGGTACTCACTTTAATCTCTTACATTGTTTTTTACAGTAAAAAAACCCCATCAGTTTCAAACTCAGTTTTAAACTACATGATCTGATGTCATTTACAGTACATGAAAATATATTCATTTTTACATTTCAGGTAGTCCCAAGACGCTGATGGGGTTTCAGCACGCATCAAAAAAGTCTATGTGCGCCCCAGAGGAGAAGTCACTGTCCAGAACCAGCATCAGGAGTTTAGATCCGGGCTTTTCACAAGACATCAGCTCCCGGGTGATGCTGATCTGTCTGAAGATCTCCTGCTGCATCTCTGTGTCCATGGGCCCTGAGCAACAGCAGAAATCAATTATACAGATTGTTGGTCCATTACAGACAGTTTGGAGACTGGGAATAACAAAGACTTCTATTATGGGGACTGTAGTGTACACTGTTTATATATCTTCACATTTTTAGGCAAGATCATGATTAGAACATTCTACCACAGTTTATATCCATGCATTTTCCAAAGCAGTATAAGAAAGTGGACACTAAATCACATATGTTCATTCATTTACTGTCGTGCGTTATTTCAGACGGCAGTTTTGGCCATATTTTGAAGATAACACAAAAACCTTTTTCTTCCTCATTGTTAGTGGTTTCGTGAAGCCAGTTCATGTAAGGCAGCCCAGGAATTAACAGGAGCTGGAGGCTTTTGCCAAGAAGAATAAGCAGAAATATCACAACAAGCAACAATAAGGTGACCATTCTATTACTATTAATTATCTCAAAAACATTATGCATAGAGAATGAATGATTTCAAAAGACTTGGGACAAAAGCTGTGTTTGTGTTATTCCAAGTATATTACATCCTTCATACCAGGTAAGAAATGTATCGTCCTAAGTCTTATTCAATGACATGTTTTGCTTTTATGGGCAAATATTGTTTTAATTCAGTCAGTGAGATGAAACCACATGTGTCACTGCCAGTTTACAGAGTCCCAGACCCTGATGCTGCTAACATGTACCCATGTATTTATTACTTGCACTAGAATATATAGTATTATACTTAATGCTCCTTATTATGCTAAAGTTAGGGGTTTTTGTACTTAGGTCTTTCTTCTAAATCATGCAAAAGTTGGAGATCATAGACTTATTTCAATCTTCTGCTAAAGATAGAGATGTTATATGAGTTAAATATTTCATTTTATTTAGAACTGTTTTCTACTGGATTATATTTTCCTTTATTTTAGTATGGAGCTTTTTTCATTTATCTTGTGCTGTGTGCTCCTCATTCCAAATGTCTGTAGATTGTGATGCAACACTGAAAACGTCCTCACTGGGTAGTATAAAGGATATTAAAGGGCTCAAAATAATAACAAAAAAATGTATTGACTGAAGGACTGAACAGGGTAAGTGCGATGTGTGCATTTTATCTTACTAGTTTTAGTGCATTCTTTTTGTTATTTCGCTAAAACCGATCTGGTAAATTGTTGGGTGGGATTGAATCTGAATGTGGTCGTACCTGGAGAGTAGCTGAGAACTTTGACGTCTGGCTCTTCTTCGGCCAGCACCTTAAACATCATATAGCGGGCGGCTTTGGCGGTGCAGTACAGGACCCAGCGTGGGTGTGGCTCCTGCGCGAACATGGACGACACGTTGACCACGGTCCTCTTCAGGCCCGGTCTGTGGGGGAAAGCCTGCAGGACCCCCGCAGTCAGGGCCAGGGCTGAGCTGACGTTGAAGGTGATGTAGGCCTGCACTTCAGCTGGGTCGGTGAAGCTGGAAAACTGGGAGATGGTGCCTAAAGAACCTGTTGCAAACATGTGAGAAACCATCAGGGGCCAAAACATAGGGACCGAAACACAAAGACCATAACACAGGGGCCAAAACACAGGGACCAAAACACAGGGACCAAAACACAGAGACCATAACACAGGGGCCAAAACACAGGGACCAAAACACAGGGACCAAAACATAGGGACCAAAACACAGGGACCAAAACGCAGGGGCCAAAACACAGGGACCAAAACACAGGGACCAAAACACAGGGGCCAAAACACAGGGACCGTAACACAGGGACCGAAACACAGGGGCCGAAACACAGGGGCCGAAACACAGGGGCCGAAACACAGGGACCAAAACACAGGGACCGAAACACAGGGACCAAAACACAGGCACCAAAACACAGGGACCGAAACACAGGGACCAAAACACAGGGGCCAAAACACAGGGGCCGAAACATAGGGACCGAAACATAGGGACCGAAACACAGGGACCGAAACACAGGGACCAAAACACAGGGGCCAAAACACAGGGACCGAAACACAGGGACCGAAACACAGAGACCACGAACAAGGTCTGGCTTGTACAAAAGTGGCTCAAAAACAGTTGCAAACTCGTGAAAGTTACTAATTTGTAACTAGTTTCACTGCTTTCATGAATGTTACATTTGATTTATTGTTATAAGTTGAATTGTTTTCCAAATGAAGGCGAAGGCAAACGGGCATTTCTAAACTCAAGATAGAGGATGTTCGAAGGGGAACTACCCTGAGCTTCAGCAGAATGGACTGGACCCAGAGCGGAAAACACATTTATTATCATCACTGGTATAAATAATATCACCACATAGAAGTAAAAAAGTGTTTGGAGAAACAGATGAGAGTTTTGAGTGCCAATTTGGAGAATAAATATCAATGAGTTACAAATAACCATGTCCGTGTTTTATCCAAAACATACTGTGTCTTATCCAAACTGTCTTGTGATATGTATGCTCTCTGCTGTTTATTCTACTGTTTGTTGCATGGCGTCGTAAAGATGGGCCGTGGCAAGAGCTCTGGTGTGTGCCGTCTGTCCGGTGCACACTGGGGTAGTCTTGAACAGGTTTGTGGTTTTACTGCAAATGGCAAATGAATGAATCTGAATCTGTAACAGGTTATGAGCTGTGGTCATGAGCTTTGGGTAATGACTGAAAGGACGAACTGCGGTGAAAATGAGTTTCCTCCACAGAGTGACTGGGTGCTCCTTGGGGTGAGGAGGTCAGTTACACGGGAGGAACTCGGAGTAGAACCACTGCTCCTCCCTCTCCGATGAGTCATTGAAGACTCAATCATCTTTGTTACTATAAGTGATTGATGATAGTCTGATAAACTCTCTAGATGATTAAAAAAACCAATCCTCTCTATACTCCCCACATCCCTTCCATTAATACTGTGATAATCTGAAATTTGTCCATTGTCACACATTTGTCCATCACATTGTCACTAAAACATTTGTCCACACCCACGCAATTGTCCACAACATTTGTCCACACATATTCATCCACATGTGATGTATATATATTATACTTGTCTTTTATATCAGTGTAATAGTGCCCTGTGGCTTCTTCAGAACTGCAGAGATCACCAGCGTTGATAAAGAGAAGCACATGATCATTAGTCATTCACATTCTGTTGTTTTCCGCCTGCAGCCGTCTCCGGCCACTCAGCGCTCCCGTCCGCTGTGCTCAGATCAGCTGCAACACACCGGACCACCAGCCCCTGAGAGACCCCCAGGTTCACCAGCTCTGTCTTTAACTCCTGCAGCAGCTGACCAGTGCAGCCACAGTATGAGTGCAGAGCCAGCCTCTAGAAGAGGGGGAACCTACAAGGGTACAGGACTTTTCACTTTTCTGTCTGAAAAAGCTGTGACAGAGGCTGTCAATTGATGCATGTGAAAACTAGTGATAGAACAAGCTTATTTTGAAATTCAAGAACAACTGAGATGGATTTTATTACATACTGATGTTGAATATTTTTGTTGTTTAAAACTTATGTCAGATTGCTCCATCATGGGGCAGTGCAGGTTGGGTCAGGTTTTTACACCTCAAGGATGTTAAATAAATCCTATTTAAACAGTTCTGATGGATCTGTTGACGGTCTGTCTTGTTTTTATTTTTGCCATCAGAAGATTTGTGATTGTCTGTCCTCAAGTAATAGTTTAATTTAAAAAAAGAGAGATTATTTGCCTCTAGGTCTATAATGGTTTTCTCTTCTTTTTATTAAGTTCTCAAATTAGTGTAGAAGCACACAGGAACACAGAAAGGTTCAGATGACACAGCCCGCCTTTTTCTTAATGGAAACGAAAATAGTCATGTGTGCTCTGAGTGATTTTATAACACGGTGTGACAAACATTTCCTGGACTTGAAAGTGGCTACATGTGAGGAGCTTTTACAGTATTCGAGAGATCTGTTCACAAGGAAGAGGTAGAAAACAAATGATCACCATTGAGCAAGGCAAGTTTAGGCATTTGTGCACAATTCATACACAAGGCAACTCAAAATGCTGAACAATAGAATTATAAAAAATTACAGTAGGTTAAAAAGAAAGATAATGGCTCTTGCTGCTTTGCGCAAAGGAGGTGGTGCTGACACACCATCTTCCTACGGCCCTGATGGGGGAGACACCGTGTATTTTTAATGCCAACAATTGTGTGTGTCTCCACTGAATAAAATGGGACCTTGACGCATCTTTATGAAAATAACCACAAGAGTCTGCCGTGCAGAGACCGTTTGACATGTAACAATTCTGTTGCTAACTTTTGATCCTACATGTGTTTAGAAGATGTGGAGTGATTTTCAGCCAAATTAAGGAAACTGGTTTGTGTTGTGTTGAGTGTGAGGTGTACACAGAATGGGAGAGTTTGTCATCGCCATGGCAACAAGGTAAAAAATAAGGCATGCTTCTTGTTGACTAAATAATAAAATAAAAATATATCTATCATATAGTCCACATATCTTGCCAATATAAAATGACGCAAAAGATGAGCTGTAAACAAAAACCCCACACAGGAAAACAATGGAGATCTTGGTAAGTAGTCTAACAAAAACAAAACAATTCTCAACCCAAAATGAGCTTGACAGACCTGCTTAGAGGACTGATGTTGGTCTTACCTGCTGTGCCAGACACCGTCCAAATCCTTTTGATGCCCCGGTGATGATGCAGAGGCACTTTCCCAGAGTCTTTGAGTTGAAATCGCTCATCCTAAAAACAAAACTTGTAGAGACTAAACAAAAACAGACTTGAGTGCAACAGTATAGAACCTCAGTGATGGACCGTGAGCTCAGAAACTCAGAGAAAAAAGGCTTTCATAAGGACTTATCCAGCAGAACTAATAGATGGCACATAGAAGCATCTTTGTTCACCAGTCCTGAAGGCACATGAGCGGAATGCAGCCACACTGTCGCCCCCCTGTGGACATAGAAGCATACAACCGCTGGAGGAGATTTCAGCTTTACACCTGAATCCATAGCTTCCTTTTCAATCAAATCCACAAATATTAACTCTTATGCGTGAAATATCATAACACAGGGCAAGATTTAAATTTTCAACAAGATACTTCTTTACGATTATAATTATTAATGCACTGTCGAGAAACATACCATTGTTTTAAACCAATTTGTTTCAACATTAAAAAAAATTCAATTTTTTTAAAAATAAAAATAGAGAAGAGAACATACAAACCTTTTTCATCCTTAAGCGTGAGTGAGCACGCGTTTTGACGTCTCTGCTCTGTTTACCCTTTTTAAGCCTTTTAAAGCCTTTTAAACACGTTTTTAACGGTGTGATTAGTGGTCTTTTGGACACGTCTATGGGGTTAGAATAATCTGAAACTGCACAATGGGTCCAGAGCATCAACGCTCTTGTGAACACAAAGGATCCCAATCGAAAACGACGCTAGCAGCAGGGAAGGCTAACCACGAGCGCGACCACAGTACATGGAATAGGTGACACTGCCAATGAACCACAGACATCGACATTATGTCGCCAGCACCTTGGAGCGTGCGTGAGAGAGGACCGCGTGCCACCGATTGCAATGCCCTGCCGTAAAAGAAGATCCTTACGCCGCACACTGCAAGCTGCAGGATAAACAGTCCACCTTCGTGATCCAAACTATTTTTGATGTCTGCTGGCCGGCACGGACAGCACTCATCGGCTTATGTCACGGAGCGCTGCAGACTGATGACACTGTCGAGTGGGGAGGAGGTCTGTCAAGCTCTGGGGCCCGCTTGTTCTACTCACCCTAAGTGCCCGGGTATTCGGAATAAAGAGCCTGCGGACTGCGACGGAGCCATCCAGCGCCGTGGCCCATGTCCTGAGAGCCTGTCAACACCGCTATGCAGCCCTCTCCGCTGACATTCCAGCCCCCCTCAGCAGAACCCCTGGACTCTGCAGCAAACTCTACTGCTGTCCGTGGATCCAGGTCCACTGCGAGAAAGACACTCTTAAAGGAAGCTGTCCTCAGACGAAAGAGTGGTCATTCCCCTTCTCTGACCCCAGTGCATCACCACCGCTTACCTTCACCGGGTCAGCAGCAGCGACCGGAGCCAGCTCCTCACGCCGCTCCAGCGTCTCCGTGCACAACAGCGTGGGTTGCCCGGGCAGCTGAGAATCAAACCACCCCCCACTCCTCTCCATGTGTTCAGCAGCGCACTGGTTCGGACCCATCCCTGGATGAGACCCGCTGGGTTCTGGCCATGGACACCGAGCGCTCTCTCCGCGGCCGCGTCCACTCTTCGCCCCGACTACTTTGATTGTTGGAGATTCCATCGTGAGACACGTCCGCTTTTTTAATGCGGTCACTCAGTGTTTTCCCGGAGCCACTGTACCAGACCTGCTCATCCGTCTCCCTCCGAGAGAGGGCAAGCACGATTTGCGACTCACGGCAACTTCCGGTGACTCGCGTGACTCAGGCGCTCTGAGTCGCGGCTCACGCTCAGCATTCAGGGGTCGTGGCTCACGGTTATCAATTTAACTTTTTAGGGGTATCTGTGGATTATCAATGACACATTGTGGATCTGGAGGCATATATTTACAAGTAACCAGTATGTTACACACTCTTCATCATCTGGTATGTGTTTATATAGCTCTCCATGTTCGTTAACCACTGACTCAGGAGCTGTGAGTCGCGACTCAGCAGTCAGAAGTCGAGGCTCACAGTTAAAAAATACCACAAATCTTTGCTTTTTAGGGTTTCTGGGAATTTCTATTGAGACAATATGGATCTGGAGGCATAGTTTTACATGTAATCAGTATGTTACACACTCTTCATCAGCTGGTATTTGTTTGTATAGATCTCTATGAACTGTTCACCACTGACTCACAGCTCCTGAGTCGCGGCTCAGGAGCTGTGAGTCGCGGCTTAGCAGTCAGAAGTCATAGCTCACGGTTAAAAATACCACAAATCTGTGCTTTTTTTAGGGGTATCTGGGAATTATTAGGGGCAACAGTGACTCAATTGGCAGAGCTTTGGTCTTTGGACCTAATGATTGTGGGGTCGTGCCCCCACAACCACCTGCTCCCACTGAAGCAAGACGCCCCATCGTGGTATCTTATATACAGTCATGGGACCTCATGAATGAGTATGAGCACAAGTATGTGGAAACGGCACAAGTATGTGGAAACGGCACAATACTAATATTGGTATTGGTGCATCCTTAGTAAAATAAACAGACTCAGTATTAGCAGCGCAGGTTTACAGTCATAGTGCAAGTGGTTGATTAAGTGATACAGGCCTAAATACAGATTATTACATGTATTTGCAGGGCTTATTTCATATTCTAATGAAAAAGACTTTTTAGGAGTATTTATGAATTATTAATGTATCTGGATGAACATTTTCCATGTCCTCAGTGCCTCATACATACTTTACCAGCTGATATGTGTTTGTATTACTCTATTGTTAACAAGTGACTTACGAGACATAAGTCAGGACTCGTCTGCTGACACCAGGGGGCGCTGTCTAATCTCATGTTGAATCATGCACGACGTTGGACATCTCGCTTGCAATTTAAATTTCACCAAAATATTGAGGTAGGTTATTTTGTTTCGTTTTTTGGAATCTGTCTTTTAATCATTTTAACATTTTAAAGGGCATGACATTTAAACAGGAAAAAAAAAAAAAAACTTGTGTAAAATTCCTTGGTTGTAATTCTGTGGCTTCAAAGAATACACAAAACTTGCAGATACAGAGCAGAGTGTATACTCCATAGGACAAAAGATGAGGCAAGGTGTATAACACAGGTTTGGTCACATAAGAAATAAATAACTAAAAAACCACTGAGACATTATTATTTGTTATTTATTAATAATGCTAAAGGCATTTGAAAAAAATACATACAATACACAAACAAACACAATTATAAAAGCCACTTGTACCAATTTGTCCTTATAGTAATATAATGTGGATGACAAAGTGAGCCAAGAACCCAGAGTAGAGATTTCTTTGTCTTTGAACAAACACAAGCATCAGGGCATTTCATTTCAGGCATTTTAATTCTAAAAAAAATGATTATTGTTAACTTTAGAGGATAGTGTGCTGAGGTGGACTTACTATTGTAAATAGAGAATTAAAGAGAAAGACCCTAATGACATAATTTTATATGATCATGTTACCGAACCCAGATGTTCAAAATACAGAATTCAAGTAACTTCTGTTGTGGTGAAATGTTTGAAGATGCTTATTTGAGCCGCCCAGTGGCTGTATGACTGCTGCATGGCACCTGTACTTTCCCTCATAACTGCCTCCGTGATCATCCTGAATCAAATGTCTGCTGCTTGCATCTCTCGTTCCCTCTCTCTCTCCATCCTTTCATTCTCCAACCTCTCTCTCTCCCTCTCCCTCTCTCTCTCCCTTTCTCGCTCTCTCTCTCTCTCAATCTTTTCCCTCTCGATTCGTTCTCTCTCCCTCTCCCTGGCTCTTTCTCGCTCCCTTTCTCGCTCCCGTTCCAGTCGTTCCCTCTCAACACGTTCTCTTTCTCGTTCGCGGTTTCTCTCCCTTTCTCTTTCGCGCTCCAGTCTTTCCCTATCCCAGTCTCTGTCCCGGTCTCTGTCCCTACCCCTCTCTCGCTGCCACTCTCTCCGACTGGGCCCACAGTCCAGTTGGTTGTTGTTGGAGGGAGCCATGGTGCTTTCAGTGTTAGTGGTGGAGGCGGTCTCGGTGGGGCGATCGGTGGCCGTGCAGGTGGCGGTCCCCACGCTGACGCTGCCTCGCTCGTCGCTCGATACAGTCCCGTCAGAGATATTGGCCGGGAGCCGGGGAAGTCTCTCGGCGCTGCAGCTTCGGTCGGCGGGACAGCGGCGAGACAGAGGAGGGGCGCGAGGCAGGGTTGTCCTCGTTCCCACAGACTTCATGGCAAACTCCTGCTCCCCTGCCACCCCACTACCAACACTGCCCATAGTGGGGTACGGTCAGGGGGAAGAGGCAAGGAGTCAGGTTTGGGGTGGGTCACACATGCATTTGGTGTGGAGCATTACAACCTAATGCAGGCAGTGGAGGCACCACACACTGGAGGAACACAGAGAAACAACGAAAGCAGTTTAAACAAAAAATGTTGCATAAGGATGTAGGTTATACAAGTGTCGCCCACAGCCAGGGCAGTCAGAACCTCCTACTGAGGAAACTAAAGGTCAGCAACTTTGATTTTGAATTTTAGTTTTTCCAAGTGGAATCATTCTCATGCTAGAAACATGATGCTAAAATTGAACTTCAGAATCAATGCAATTAAACCAAAAACAGAAACACAATGAGACTAGTATAAAGTGGGTCCCAAGTACTATACTTACAGCTGGGGTATTCCTAATTTTTTTTTTCCCATAGATAATACATGCTGTTTTTCTCAAATAATAACAGAAATAGGAACTTGAACAGTCAGTTTGCAAAAACAGATAAGTGCCAATTGAAGAAACAAAAAAAAAAGCTTACAATTTGCCCATTACCAAGTAGTTTTTGGAACTATTTTAGTGCTGACAAAACTTCAAGAAGGTTTTTCACCATCTTGAGAAAATTCTCTTACATGTACAGCCACTAACAAATCATGTTGAAGATTGTATAGCCACAGCTATACAACTTTTTGACAATTTATCAAAATGGAGAACATTTCTGTTTTGAAATAAACTCTTCAGTTGTAAAATAATAATTATCCTGAACAAATCAGGCCAAAGCATGCTGTCTTCTTATTAGAAAACATGTTATATTTATATATAAGTCACTATGTGATGCTTTAGGCTCAGATTGGCTGTTTATGTCTGGTCTAAAGATGTGACAAAATTACATATCAGAACTAGTTACATGGATTTTATTGTTCTTTTTATGTGGCTGTTTATAATCCATGTTGAAGGAGATCGTTAAACACTATAGGATATACATTTGAAAGGAAATAATCTGTAAACCATTTGTGGTTACTACAGGTCTAAAACGTTTTTTTCAAGTGCAAAAATAGTACAGCTGTTTGGGATGTCCTATAGGCCAATATACATAGTCAATCTTACTATGATAACTCAAAAATATGAGGAAAATGCAATGGAATGTTTTGTGAAAGTATGACATGTAGCTTAGAAAACAATGACAAAGGCTAATAATATAACATGCCTATATTTACGATGTCTTCTTCACCTTTCACATGTGAGCCATTACCTCTCTTAAAAGTGAAACATGTATACTGAATACCCAGTGAAATAATGTTGGGTGTCCTCCAAAAATGGCAAACATGGCATATATGTGAGTCCTTTTCAACCACCACCATCCATATATTCTGCATGCAGTAACCTATTCTTTATAATTGCCTGTTGTGAGCCTGTAGCTTTGCATTGATTATGGACACACATGGCCGTTTCACTATCACAACAAACATCCAACAAGTGTGTGACAACCATGGAGACATAAACCTGTGTTGACAAATGTATAAGCTAAACATAGCCCACAGTGAGCACTGCATAGGCCTCTTTTGGAAAAGCAGATTCTTTAGGCCCTAGGTTAAAGTCAGGCTGTTAAATCAGTAATGCCAAAAAATGATACCACAGAACGTCCACATTTAAATGGATCAAATATTATAATGCGCAATGCACACAATTTCCCTCGCCTGCCTTATTAGCAACCTCGCTGTATGCAGATTTGTGAAACCACTGAATATGTACGTTTATGGATAAAGACGCTGCTTGTCATAAGAGCAATCACATCCCAGCATCCATAGGCTAAACGCGAATGCAGTCGTGCTATGGCAGGTGCTCCAGCTATCTACCCATCCCACCTATATACGGGAACGTTGCAAAGGGGTCGCAGTAGTAGTAAAATGCAGTGCTCCAGTTTGTATGTGCTGGTGTGCCTCAGTCCCCTCCCCTCACGACTACCTCTGTCCCTTTTCTCTGCATCCCGGTCGGCAAGGGCGGCTTTAGCGGCTCCTGCATCAGCACCACCTCCTCCTGGCTCTAGGCCCAGGACTAAAAACAGCGCACCCGCAACAAGAGCTTGAGCAAGAAAAGAAAAGAAAAAAAAAAGAAAAACAGCGATAACATCTAACCCTGCGTCATTGACGTCGTCTCGTGCAGCGGCTTTGATATACGGATTGTAGCATCTCCGCTGTGCATCATCAAAGAGTACTCACTGTTTTTGCAGCTGGGCGCTTGGTAAGATGGCAGCCAGCACAACACGCCTGGCTGTGTCCTCGCTATGACTGTGTCGTGGACGTGACGCACCGCGGTCCGTGGGGCGCTAATATTAGGATAGGGATGCTGCGTTCGACCGCTGTCAGCCCGCGGTGGATGCTGTTGATGGAGGCGGCCGATACGCGCATCAGCTGAGAGGCACACACCCACCACTGACCCCGCCCCCTCCGCCCTGCATGGCGCGCTCCGCTGGGAGAAGGCGCGTGTGGAGTGGACTCTGTGTGGGACAAACTATGGGAGGGTTTCAGATCCATGGCCACAGAATCAGTTATCTTTGGTTGTATTTCATGTGGGGGATGGTTCTGCATGGCTATCTCTTACATATCTCTCACATCAGTGCACTATATATGTGGATATGGCTCATGGAATTTCCCCAAATAAAGTTAATCTCATCTGAATTGCCTTTATTGACAGGAGGACTCCAACCGTCATATAGACTTATTATATTCATCACAATGGACTTCTGAGAAAATCCCCCAAAAAGGTTTAATTTTCACCAGATATAAGAAGTGTATAATTTGTGATTTTTTTAAATATATATATATTTTTACCTTTACCCACTTTTTATAAAACTGGTGAATATAGCTTGAAATACAGCAGCAGTTTGTTGAAAGGCTAAATGCTAACTGTTGGCAAGTTAATGGTGTGTTGCTATGGTAACTAGCGGGCTCTTCTCTGGTAGAAAATCTAGCAGAACCAGAACCAGTCCAGGACCAGCACCTTAAAAATATAGGGCGTTCATTGCATTGAAAATGGCTACAATTGAATTTTTCATTCAAATGAATGGATTTAAAGGTATTGTCAAGATTTAGCAGACAGAGACGGATCGTGGTGTGCCAAACTCTGGAAGTTTATTTAAGTTTCTCTCAAGTTCCACTGGTTTACTCTGTTTCTTTCTCTCAGACAGAATAAAGGCAGTACACAGTTTATATAGTCATTGTCACGTCACACATCGAAAGACATACGTGTCACAAAGAGACAGTCAAATCATAGTCATAACATGGAGTCCTTGTAGAGTCCTTGTACAGTCCTGCACGTAGGCCATATTGCTATCTAATACTAACAGTATACTACTCACATATAAAAATAGTAACAATTTTCCATCCATTTTCCATCCACTTTCCATCCACTTTCTTCCCCTTGATTCATTTCCGGGTCGGGGGGGGGCAGTCAGAGCTGTACGCATAGCACCAGCACTGATCCTCCTGCAGGTGGTGAGTCCACAGGAGCCTTGATCTTCCAGTGGGGGCTTTAGGCAAAGTGGGGTTGATTGTCTTGCCCAAGGACACAACAACAGCAGTGAAGTAGGTCTTCTGGTGGGCTTGAACCCACAACCTTCAGGCCCAAAGGTCAAATGCTCTACCAACTGAGCTACTGTTGCCCCGACAATGGTCACAATAAAAAGTTGTTTAATTACACTTCTAAGACTAAAAGGAATCAAATTGACTGTTCTGGGAATTTTAGGCGCATTATGAAACTTTTTATGTGAAAAAAGGAGGATATTTTTGTGCCATTGACTTGTAGTGAAACACAATATGAATGTTGAGTATGGTACCTTGACTCATTCCATGACAGTGATTATAGGATTACCTGTTTGGAAGTTTTTCTCTTCTGATGAACCTTCTCACCAGAAACCCCAAAACGATTGATCCTGGAGGTCTGTATAGACCCAACCCTGATCCATTGTAAGGGCTCAAGGCTGACCCCTCCGCAGCCACTGGGGCACAACAAGGTCAAAAATGCGCAAATAGAAACCTGCATAATCCACCTATGGCTGGGATACCTAAAAATATCAAATGGCAAATAAATGAACGATGAGTGATTCTAAAAATTAGAGCTACAGTAAGTACATCAAGTTGATCTGAACTAGTTCCTCCTTCTCAAAGCAGTTTGGTCACTATAGTTTTCACATGCACATATTTTTGGCCTCTGATATATCTTTCGACAGAAAAGTGACAAAGCAAGGACCAATCAGCACTCAGCCTCAAATCATGCCATGGCTCAAGTGCGCAAAATATATGGTGTTGTTTAATGATATGTTGTAGTTTGATTTGTTCCCAACGGTTTACTTTTACAAGAGTCTTTCTGTTTGGAAAAACATAGATTAAGGATGAAAAAGGTTTGTATGTTCTCTTCTCTATTTTTATAATTTTTGTTTTGCATTTTTTTGTATATTGTAGAAAATAAAATCTGCCCCTGCTGTTATGATATTTTACGCATAAAGTTATATTGTGGATTTGAATGAAAAGGAGCTATGGATTCAGGTGAAGCTGAAATCTCTCCAGCTGTTATATGCTTCTATGTCCACAGGGGGGCGACAGTGTGGCTGCATTCCGCTCATGTGCCTTCAGGACTGGTGAACAAAGATGCTTCTATGTGCCATCCATTAGTTCTGCTGGATATGTTCTTATAAAAGCCTTCTTTCTCTGAGTTTCTGAGCTCACGGTCCATCACTGAGGTTCTATACTGTTGCACTCAAGTCTGTTTTTGTTTAGTCTCTACAAGTTTTGTTTTTAGGATGAGCGATTTCAACTCAAAGACTCTGGGAAAGTGCCTCTGCATCATCACCGGGGCATCAAAAGGATTTGGACGGTGTCTGGCACAGCAGGTAAGACCAACATCAGTCCTCTAAGCAGGACTGTCAAGCTCATTTTGGGTTGAGAATTTTTTTGTTTTTGTTAGACTACTTACCAAGATCTCCATTGTTTTCCTGTGTGGGGTTTTTGTTTACAGCTCATCTTTTGCGTCATTTTATATTGGCAAGATATGTGGACTATATGATGGATATATTTTTATTTTATTATTTAGTCAACAAGAAGCATGCCTTATTTTTTACCTTGTTGGCATGGCGATGACAAACTCTCCCAATTCTGTGTCAATGGGAAAATCGTTAAATCCCTGACATGTACACCTCACACAAACAGAAAACCAGTTTCCTTAATTTGGCTGAAAATCACTCCACATCATCTAAACACATGTAGGATCAAAAGTTAGCAACAGAATTGTAACATGTCAAACGGTCTCTGTACGGCAGACTCTTGTGGTTATTTTCATAAAGATGCGTCAAGGTCCCATTTTATTCAGTGGAGACACACACAATTGTTGGCATTAAAAATACACGGTGTCTCCCCCATCAGGGCCGTAGGAAGATGGTGTGTCAGCACCACCTCCTTTGCGCAAAGCAGCAAGAGCCATTATCTTTCTTTTTAACCTACTGTACATTTTTATAATTCTATTGTTCAGCATTTTGAGTTGCCTTGTGTATGAATTGTGCACAAATGCCTAAACTTGCCTTGCTCAATGGTGATCATTTGTTTTCTACCTCTTCCTTGTGGACAGATCTCTCGAATACTGTAAAAGCTCCTCACATGTTGCCACTTTCAAGTCCAGGAAATGTTTGTCACACCGTGTTATAAAATCACTCAGAGCACACATGACTATTTTCGTTTCCATTAAGAAAAAGGAGGGCTGTGTCATCTGAACCTTTCTGTGTTCCTGTGTGCTTCTACACTAATTTGAGAACTTAATAAAAAGAAGAGAAAACCATTATAGACCTAGAGGCAAATAATCTCTCTTTTTTTAAATTAAACTATTACTAGAGGACAGACAATCACAAATCTTCCTGATGGCAAAAATAAAAACAAGACAGACCGTCAACAGATCCATCAGAACTGTTTAAATAGGATTTATTTAACATCCTTGAGGTGTAAAAACCTGATCCAACCTGCACTGCCCCATGATGGAGCAATCTGACATAAGTTTTAAACAACAAAAATATTCAACATCAGTATGTAATAAAATCCATCTCAGTTGTTCTTGAATTTCAAAATAAGCTTGTTCTATCACTAGTTTTCACATGCATCAATTGTCAGCCTCTGTCACAGCTTTTTCAGACAGAAAAGTGAAAAGTCCTGTACCCTTGTAGGTTCCCCCTCTTCTAGTGGCTGGCTCTGCACTCATACTGGTGGCTCGCACTGGTCAGCTGCTGCAGGAGTTAAAGACAGAGCTGGTGAACCTGGGGGTCTCTCAGGGGCTGGTGGTCCGGTGTGTTGCAGCTGATCTGAGCACAGCGGAGGGAGTGGCCGAGACGCTGCAGGCGGCAAAACAACAGAATGTGAATGACTATGATCATGTGCTTCTCATTAACAACGCTGGTGAGTTTTGTAGAAGCCACAACTTTTCACAGAAATAAAGGGTATGTGTGTGTGTGTGTGTGTGTGTGTGTGTGTGTGTGTGTGTGTTGACTGCTGTTGGACTGGATCTCTCTTTCACTGACAACAAATGAGAAACAGATGGAGCAGAGGCGTTAAGGTAGTTGTACAGTATTAGCCTGGCCACCCATCCACATCTTTCTTTTGTAAAGGAATAAGTTGTTCTTTATCAAAATAATAGAGAGTGAATGAAAAGCTTCTCCATTGTTTTGCGATTCCAATCTGTAGTTTCTGCCGCGTCCAACTGAATGGATGGAGAAATCACATCCATTGAGTGGGCCAAAATAGGGGGGAAGGTGAAAACAGAATTTTCTCAAGCCTCAAAATATAACTGTGTATGCAAAGGATGAGGGAAATAACCTACTTTAAAGTATTTTGATAGCTCCAAAATGGCTGCTTTTTTTTTCTTCTGGTAAAACATGTGTTTCGTCAAACAACTTAGTGGGCTCTCTGTATTTTAGATCGCATTCGTACACAAAATGAATCAAAATATTAAGAAACAAAAGCTAGTTTCTATAGCTTCTGTCTGAGAATGATCTATTGTTGTCAACTCTGTTTTTATTTCATATTTTACACCTTGGACATCTACCACAATAGATGTCCAAGGTGCTACTGTAGATGTAGATTGGTGATAGCCAAACCCCCTGAAGGTGGTGTACACAACCTTAACCAATCGTCCCAAAGTGACAAATGGTGACTCGCAAGGCTCTTTCTAAGACGCCAAAAGATTTTCAACATGTTGTAACGTATAGGCAGGTCAAACGGACATTTAAGGGCATATATGGACATTGGTCATAGACCAACAAGCTCCAATGTGTTTGACATTATTCCTTTTCCTGTGTTCAAACTCTTTGATTCACTGATCTGTTGTTACTTTGTAAAGTCCTCTGAGACGACAGCTGTTGTAATGTCGGGTTATAACAAAATTAATTGAATATATATATATATATAATAAGATAGGGCGACAGTAGCTCAGTTGGTAGAGCATTGGCCTTAAGGCCAGAAGGTCGTGGGTTCAATTCCCACCTCTACACCTTCTCCACCGACTCCCACTGATGACTGCTGTCGTTGTGTCCTTGGGCAAGACACTTAACCCCACTTTGCCCAAAGCCCCCACTGAAAGATCAAGGCTATGCTCACACTCTGAGAGCAGCCGTCCTCCTGTGGACTCACCACCTGCAGAGGGTCAGTGAGGGGCTGGTGCTATGAGACTTGGGTGGCATCTCTGACTGCCACCCCCCTGACCCAGAAATGGATTAAAGGGTAGAAAATGGATGGATGGATGGATATAATAAGATGAAAATAGAACCAACATTTTTATCCAAAATGTTTCTTTCATACTGTCGGGACAAACAACATGTATAATATATAAACACATGGGTGCTCCAGCTGTAATGTTTCAAAGTGATTTTCCTCATTGATCATGCATTAATCCCTTGTACACAGAATTTTTTTGACTTCTAAGTCTGGACTTTCCTCTCACCATTCCCCTGCTGGAGTCTGAGTTGTATCAGTGAAAGCAGACAGTCTCTTTACGTCCCATAAAGCAGCTGATGCCTGTGCTCTGTCCTGAGCCTTCTCTCTCTCTCATGTCAGTGCGTACGGCCACCCCCGACACCATGCATCTCATCTCATGCCTCCCCTTAGTGGATTAACAGGCAGGCGTTCAGCACCTCTTATGCCAATGCGACCCGGTGCACGGGGACGGGCTTTGTGCAGGCAACGGGAAAATTCAATCACTGCCTAAAGGAAAGGAACCAATGAAACGCTACTTTGCTTCCATTTCCACGTTCACAACTGTTCAAGGCTGCAAATCAGAGCGAGCGGTGTCGCGTGAGTCTCTGGCATCAAGGTCACACTGGGAAACACTGACAGAGATATTGCATGAAACATAGTCAGGATTTTTGTCAGGCTTTTATTTGGAAGTAGTAGTGAGGGAAGTGCTTTGACAGATTTTGGCAAAACATGGGAGGGTAGATTCTGACGTGGCTTTGACTGGTAAATTATCATGAATTTATGATATGTTTATTTGATAGGGACAGAACAAAAGCATTATGCCATGTTCATAGGCCGTATAGCTAACAGCTAATTTGCAGACCTGGGGCCGTATTCCTAAAGATTCTTAGTGCTAAAAGTTGCTCCTAGTGGCCAAATTCTAAGAATTTTCTTAGAATCTTGACCAACTCTTAGAATTTCCCCTAAAAGTGACGAGTAGCTCCTAGTTAAGATAAAAGCTATTCCTAAAGAATCCTAGCTCTTAAGAGTGCTCCTAAGGGGAGATCCCTTAAGAGTTGAGAGGTGGACTTTTAGCGACTTAAAAGTTCCCTGAGAGCTCAAAATGGTGGACGGTGGAGACAGGAGAAATATTCTATACACTGGATGACAGTGAATCAGTGAAACGCTACAGATTGAGTCGAGCAGGAATTATGCTTCTGTAATATTTAAAAGTCAATCATGTGACCAGCTTCTTATAGGCTGGTCAGCAATAACAACTCATCCATTTTACCCTTGTTACACAAAAGTAGGTAGAAATGGTGAAAGTTGAAAGAGAGAAAATAACCAGCATGGTAATAATAAAAGCAAGTAAATGTAACTATTATTGCGTTAATACTGTACAAGTGGGCCTACATTTTCACACATTCAGTACGAATGAATGAATACTTTATTTTGAGCCATGGCAAACAAGAAAAAAGGACAAAAACAAACAAAACAACAACAGAATAGAAGTACAAATGCACAGTTTTGTTTTATTAACAACAATCCAGCTCAAAAAGGAGTGAGAGAGGTTAAGACTTTTAAACTCCCTTGTACTTGATTTGTACATTGTATGTATAATATGTTTGTATTAATATTGTTTCCTTAATGCCTTATACGTCTGTCAGTATCACAGCCTTTACTAATCCTAACGTTATCACTATCATCATTTATCCATATAATATTTATAATAATAATTTTCTTTTTCATGTATATTATATATAGAGTAATATTTAAATTGTATGTATATATACATAAATAAATAAATATATATATATATATATATATATAATATAAAATTATAAGTGCTCATGATATATACGTACTATGTATTTGTTAGAAATTGGTGCTGAGCAAGCTCTGATGATGTGGTATAAAAGTCTATCTTACTATTCACAGTATTTATGCACCATTGATATATCTGACTTTATAGCGTTTGGTTATTATTTACAATAACACAGTATTCCTAAGATTAGATTCCATGATTGAGTTTGTCCATTTTAGGGCCCTTATTTTGCCTATTATCATCAAAAATATGTTTGTTCTAACTTTTAGGATCAACCAATCACAGCGTCTGAAATGATGACTCATACCTAGCAACGGGGTCGGCCACGCCTCCTCACTAAGATAAAAGTTGTTGTCAATTCCTTGCTCAAAGTTCTCTAAGAGTGTTCTGGAATAACTTTTAAGCTAAGACTCCTAGCTAGGAGTTTTTAGGGTAAGATAGGAGCTCTCTGAGAGGACTCTTAGAATCTTTAGGAATACGGCCCCTGGTCCCTAATGTACTCTTTCAGTTCTTCTAGTCTTGAAAGGAATTAAACATAATAATGTAGTATATATTTTCAAAATCGATCAATCTAATTTGTTAAAAAGGTGCACTTTATTGATCCCCATAGGGCAATTCTTCCTCGGCATTTGACCCATCCTGATGCGGCTAAGGCTTACGTCAGGAACAGTGGTCACCGTAGAACAGCGCCCGGGAACCCAGAAGTTGATGCTTGGCTTGGTCAGGACTACCGGAGCTGGAGGATTTAAGCCATTACAGGTGGGATTGACCAATATTCAATTTATTATTATTATTATTATTATTTATTTTATTCTTTGGAAGTGCTGTGTATAGACCTGTCAGTACCTTGTAGGATTTTTTCCATCTGTTATCCCACAGTCGCACTCACAAACACACTCTCTGTCACCCTGAACTATTGTTGACACCGGAGCACCTGGAGAAAACCTACATATACACAGGAAACCAATGCGTTTCCGACCATGTCCGTACAATTTGTTCAATGCTAACCCCCTAGCTCAATGAAGCCAAATAGGGAAGTGCTCAAGGACTCAAGTTTTGCTAAGGCTCCTATTGGCTCAAGTATCTCAGTAACTGTTCATGTCACTCACCATTTTGGGCTTGGATAGTGCTTCATTTTTTTCTTTGATAGTGTCTTTGTTAATCCAGTTTTAAGGATTGACCAATCAGATTTCTGGCTTATGGCATAGTCAGCTTCATCCTCAGTCGGCAAACACTATGAGACTAATCGGTCAGCCCACTCCTAATATACGGTCTATGGTTTTTAACCTACTTTACCCCCAGATTTCAACTAATGACTTGTTTTTCCTTTACATTATTAAAACAGATACTTCACCTGTTGTTTGTGTAGCATTTAACTGTGCTCCCACTGATCCTCGCTCTGCTCATTCTACCACCGTTCTGTTTGATCTCTCCATCTTTGACATTTGCACGGAAATGTTACATCCTGATAAACACTCGAAGTCTTTTGACACAGTCTGCCCAATATTTATGTATCTAAAAAAACAAGACTACATAACCCACAGAGTTTGAAAAAGCTGCTGGATCCATCGTTCTACTTTATGCAAAAGGAAAATTATAACTGTAAATATGTGCTTACGAGCATTAATTCCTTCACCAACAGCCCACACTTAAAGCTGGGCTATCTAACTTTTTCCATAACATCCATGTTCTTTGCCCAATAAGGAAGTCTTGAGAAAAGTAAACTGTTGTGAACTAATCTGACCAGACATCTTATCATTCATCTTTCAACAATCAAAGCGAGGTGATTAGCTGTGTGATTTTCTTTGCTTGTCTAATGACATCTATTCAGGCCGACACGCTGAGTGGATAGAGTGGAGGGTCCTGGGTTCCAATCCTGGTCGGAACAGGGTCTTTCTGAGTGGAATGATGTAGGCTGTATAAATAATGATTACTTACACACTCAAATGTCTGTTGCAATGATGGATGCTCCATGACCTTAAAGATGCAGTCAGTGATTTTTTACAGTCACATTTTTTTTTTAATATATTGTGGGAAAACGTCCCTAAACCCGAAAAGCAAGTCAATGTATCATGTGTTTTCAAATAGTAATGGAATTGACCAGATGCATATAGTCTGCAAAAATTAATAACAAATATTTTGGAGCAGACTGATGAATAATAAACCATGAAAAATAAACCAATGGGATGCGTTTACCCCCTTCACCCTCTTCCTGTTTCTTGCGAGTGCGCGCACCTGAGTTATCGGATTTTCTAAAACCTAAAAGGGCTGAAGAGAGATTGCAAATTTCACGTTTGCCACCCATTCTCCCTTTTGTGACCAAAAAAAGAAAATGCTGGATGTTTGGTTTGGGGAGAGGCGAGGGGATTCGAGTTGGTGCTACGGCTAAGCTAACAAAATTGCTTACTGTACCTGTAACAGGGAATTTACACAGTAGGCGTAAACAGCGCGTACGCGTTTCTGCGCGCTCTCTCCAAACATTTTTTTGGAGTATCTACACAGGCCGTGCGCGCAGGTCCGCGTCTTCTGATGCTCTCCCCGTGTAGTCTATGAGAAGTGTAGAGGACAGTACGGGCCAGAGGACTGATGTAGAGCAACACAAATCACATGCATGTGTTTGTCTCCATGGTCTCTGTGCGCTGGTTTGGCCAGACGCCAGACTTTATGAAAGAAAAAAAACGATGTCCAGAATCACTGTAAAACCTGCTGCTCCTCCTGCTGATGTTTAGACACAAGTGCTGTGTGTGTGTAGATGCGATCTAGAGCCAAGGGCCGCTAGAAAAATCATGTTTTACATGAGATTTCAATGGGAGACGCGTTGGTGCGCGCACACAATTAGAAATTTATCCTAAAGTAGAGCGCAGCTTCGCGTCATACGTCCGTCATACGCGCGTATAACGCTAGAAGTGTAAATATCATCATAGGTTAACATGGAAAAAAGTTACGCGCGTCTGCTGCGCGTATAACGCGTACGTGCTGTAACGTGTGATGTGTAAATGATCAGTAAGTGCTATATGCCGTTACATTATGATCTGTGAGTCACTTTTTAACTTTTTGGGTTGTCAGGAAAATCTGACGCTTGTGACAGAAGCCAACAATGAGAACTAGTGATATACAACCATAACTGTTTTAGAGCCAGGTTACATGGATGATAGATTATTCCATTTTTTGCAATGTGAAAGTTAGCTAACACAAATGCCAATCCCGCTGTTATATATTTAATCCAAAATTATTCTGCCGGAGAGAATCTAGAAGAAGGTGTACAGTACAGTGTGAGTATATTCAGTTGTAGATGTCTTCATTATGCCGGTCTTAGCAGGGTTTCGTCTTCCCCCCCCCTGGGGCCCTCAATCCACCCGGATCTATATGTTTCAAAGCAGTGATGCGTTCAAGGGTGGAGGTGACAGCCCTGCTATTAAACCCTGGGGGTAAAGCTGCACAGGAGGCTGATAAAGGCTCAAATATGAATCCTGTAACTGTCTCATATATAAGATGTATGTTGTTGTGTTGACGATTAAATACTGTAAATCTAAGTTTTGTGTTCAAGATTCCGCTTCTGTAAGTTTGTAAGCGGCACCCATCTGATGCCACACAGGTACACTGCAGAAATTGATA